GTGTGTGTGTGTGTGTGTTTGTGTGTGTGTGTGTGTGTGCGTGTGCGTATGTGTGTGTGTGTGTGTGTGTGGCGTGCGTGCGTGCGTGCGTGCGTGCGTGCGTCTGTGTGTGTGGTGTTCGCCCCCACAATCGTAAACAAACAAATGATCCTTCAGACTCGAGGGGCGGGGCACGGCCCTTGTCCAGCTCGGCAAACATCAACAACCACATAGCTCAAGGAGGGGTATAGAACCCGGGGGGGAAGGCTGCCGCAGGGCCTGCCCAAGGCCCCAGGGTAGCCTAAGGTTTTGGAGTCCCGAAACGGCGCGGTGACAGACCCTGCGGTGACCTCGGAACAAGAGACCTCACCGCACGGTCCGTCACCGCACGGTCTTGGGACCCTGGAGGCCTGTCGCCCGAGACATCCTCGGAGAGAGACCCGAGGCCCAAAACCGTGCGGTGACCCCGAATCCCCACCGACTCACCGCACGGTGTGGTCACCGCACCGTTTGGGGGCCCCCTGAAAGGTAGGCTTTACCCAAAGCTCTCGGGTAGCCTAGAGTAGGCCCTACCCTAAGAGCCTCAGGGTAGCCTAGGGTAAGCCCTACCCTAGGTTCTAAGGGGGGCCTAGGGTAAGCATAGGGGAAGGGCCTAGGGGTAGGCCGAGGGAAGGGAAGGTAGGCGAAGGGCCGGGGGGCCCTAAGGCCTAGGGGAAGGGCCCAGGGCCAGCGCGTTGGGCGAACGTGCCGGGTCGGGTTGGGCGGGGGACCCCGACGGGCGTTTCGGGTCGGGCGGGTCATTCAAGCATGGTGAATCATCGATGTTGACACGCGCGTCGAGTCGTGCAGGCGGGCCGGGTCGCGCGGGTCGGGTTGGGCGTTCGGGCGGGCGGGCTCTGACCAGCGGGTCGGGTCGGGTCGGGTGGGTCATTCAAATATGGTGCATCATCGAATTGGCGCGTGTGTTGGGCGGTCGGGTCGGGTCGGGCGACATCGATTTGGGCCATGACTCAGGCGGTCGGGCTGGGTCGGGCGGGATGGCCCTGCTGGGTGGGCCTGGTCGGGCGGTAGGGGAAGGGCCTCGTGGCAGGCCTCAGGGAAGGGCCGGGGGACACGGGCGGGGGGGGGGAAAGCCTTGGGGTAGGCATCGGGGGAGAGCCTTGGGGTAGGCTTAGGGGAAGGGCCTCGGGGCAGGCCCAAAACAGGCCCATGGGCAGAGCCTGGGAGTAGGCTCACGGGAAGGGCCTAGGGGGCAGACCTGGGGTCGGCCTCGGGGGGACGGGCCTCGGGGAAGGGCCTCTGGGGTAGGCCAGGGGAAAGGACCTCCTCCTCCTCCTCCTCCTCCTCCTCCTCCTCCTCCTTGGGGTAGAACTCAGGACGAGCCTTCCCGCCGAGCTCTGCACGCACGGATAGGGGCGCCGGCAGGCGCCGAAAAATCGGCAGGCCTGGCGGCGGCGCACCTGCTTCACCCGCCAACACCATCAGACATCCGAATCTCGCACGCTCAAGCCGAAGATGTCGCAGAATCGTTTTTTTTGCCTTGCTACCTCTCGGGCCTCCTGCGGACCATCGGGACAATCCAGGCACCCCCAGACGGGGCTCGCCGAGCCGCGGCTGCTGGAGCGCATCCCGCGGCGAGAAGGCATGCGAGCACCGACCACAAGAAGGTCCGATCGATCCTCGATCCTCGCCCCTCGCCGCGGAGGGCAACAAAAACAACACTCTTCTTCGGGAGCCGCCCCGCCGGGACGTCGCGTCCTGCGTGGTCTGGGGCGCCGTGTCGCGCGGGGCCGCGTCCGCGGGCGCGTGCCTGGACTCGGGGCCAGGCAGGCCTCTTCTTGCTCCTCCTCTTCCTCCTCCTATTCCTGCTGCGCCTCCTCCTGCTCCTCCTCCTCCTCCTCCTCGTCCTCCTCCACCTTCTCCTCTGCCTCCTCCTCCTCCTCCTCCTCCTTCACCTCCTCCTCCTCCTCCTCCTCCTTCACCTCCTCCTCCTCCTCCTCCTCCTCCTCCTCCTCTGTCTCTTTTTCCTCCTCCTCCTCTTCCGAACCCTCCTCCTCCTGCTCCACCTCATTTCCTGCGGCTCATCTCCTCCGCCTCCGCCTTCGCCTCCGCCCCTCGGTCTCTTCCTCCTCCTCCGCCTCCTCCTCCTCCGGGAATCTCGGCGGCGACGGCACCTGTCCATCAGTGGGACACGTGTCCACCGGGACCAGGCGTGTCGGCGGAAAGTGCACGCATGAATGCACGGTGTGTGTGTGTGTGTGTGTGTCTGTGCGCGTGTGTGTGTGTGCGTGTGCGTGTGCGTATGTGTGACTGTGTGCCTATGCGGGAAGTGTTTTTCGGTGTCAGCGTGGAGGGCAACATTCCACCCGGGCACCCGCGACAGGGCCCACCCTCCGCCCCAAATGTAACGACAGAAGGGAAGAAGAGGCAGGAGGGAACCGGAAAGCGGAGAAGGTGGGGGCGCCGGCTGTGGGTCGTGCGCCATCAGGCCCCGCCGTTCGGCGCGCGCGCTTTCCCACCAGAGGCAAGGAGCGGGGAAGGAGATGGAGAAAGAGAAGAGAAAAACAAACGAGGGATTCTCCGTGGGGTTTGATCCTTTTCCTTTTAATACCTAAGATGTTTGGCACATGCAGCGCTGAACGGCCCTTGCGGCCATGTGCGGACAAGGGCGAGGATGGCGCGTGCAATGAGAATTACGCAAAAACCTCAGCATGTCGTGCGTTCCGCACAGATCACACGGGAAATGGTGTGGCTATAAGCAGACACTACACCGACATTATTATAAGAGGCACGCGTGCCAAGGATCACACAATCACGGATGTGGGACACTGGGAGATGGAGGTGGCGCCGACCTGTGGTAGTTTTTGGGAAGCGCGCGAATGCTGCGACGCGCTGAGATATGGCGTGAAGAACTTATTATGTCACTGTGCGCTAGTGGCGTCTCTGTGGCTCTTCGGGGCCATGGTGCTATTGGGCGCCCCTGGGGCTTAGTGGGGGTCTTGTGTGGGCCCGTTTGGGGCTCTTTTGGGCTGTCTTGGGGCATCGGGGGGGCTCGGGGGGAACCAGGGGGGGGGGGGGGGGGCACGGCCGGAGCGGGGGGGCACGGTCGGTCGGTCGGAATAAGCAGGCGGGGGGGCCACGGGGCGGAAGGGGCGGGAAAGGGGGTGGCTGGGGAGAGGGGAGGGGGGGCACGGTCGGTCGGCGGGGGCCACGGGGTGGAGGGGGGAAGCACGGTCGGCCGGTCGGTCGGGCCGAGCAGACGGGGGCCACGGGCCGGAGGGGAAGGGCACGGTCGGTCGGTCGGAATAAGCAGACGGGGGCCACGGGGCGGAAGGGCGCGGGAGGGCATACAAACGAGGATTCGATGGCCCCCTGGAAGCGAAGCAAGCGACTGGTGGCCCGAGCTCCGAAACAGCCAGTCGCGCGGACCTCTATCCACGACGCCAGAGGCCTCGGCCAGACCGGGCCACGACGAGGGCACCCCATCGCTCGACCCGTCCCCACAGGCACCCTCTCTCGAGCGCGGATCGCGCGCCGATGGTCCCCCCCGACAGCTGAGATCAACACGAACAGCGCCCGCCGTGCGTTCCCCGCGACTTCAGGCAGTCTGGGCCCCTCCTCGACAGGCCTCTCCCCCTACATGGGAATTTTCGCCGACAGATAAGAAGTACCCCAAAATAATCCAAAAATACTCAAACAATAATCTGGGGACTATTTCTTGAATATTTTTTGTCATTTTTTGTTTTTTTTTTGGGGGTATTTTTATCTAACAGCGAAGACTGATAGGCTTCTAGTACGGTCAAAAGAGAGCATCATGACTACCCAAGGGGGTCTGGGCGGGATCTGGACAGGGTGCCCCGGGAACCCCCCGGGAAACCGGGGATCCGCGCCTGATATGGGCGAACTCAGTCGGGGGTGCCGTGGGTGCCCGCCTGATATGGGGGAACTCAGTCGGGGGTGCCGCGGGTCCACGCTTGATATGGGGGAACTCAGCTGACGGGTGCCGCGAGTCCACGCCTGATATGGGGGAACTCAGCTGACGGGTGCCGCGGGTTCTTGCCTGATATGGGGGAACTCAGTCGGGGGGGCCGCGGGTGCACGCCTGATATAGGGGGAAGTCCGTCGGGGGTGCCGCGGGTCCACGCCTGAGATGGGGGAACTCAAGTGAGGCTGAGGCTGAGGCTGCGGCTGAGGCTGAGGCAGGCTGAGGCAGACGCTGAGGCAGGCTGATGCATCCGAAAGCCCATGAGCAGTGAGGAGGAGAGATGCCTCCTGTCGAGCGCCACGGTGTGCTCAGAGGGAGGAAGAGGAGGGAGGAGGAGGAGGAGGGGGAGGAGGAGGAGGAGGAGGAGGAGGAGGATGAGGAGGAGGAGGAGGAGGAGGAGGAGGACGAGGAGTGGTTCGAGGAGTGGTTCGAGGAGTTGCTCGAGGAAGGATGCGCAAGGTTTTTCTCAGCGGTTCCAGCCTCTGGAGGCCCAGTTGTCTTCATCAACGTTTCGACATTGGGCGGAAGGGGGGGGGGCTCTGGCTTCGGACCCCTGCCTAGAGCGACTGTTCGCAACAGAGCGTCCTACGGGGGATGCTCCGGTGCGAGGGCCCGCGCCCATCGGCAAACTAATGAATAAGAAAACGATCACCATATGACGTGCTGTTTGCACGTGTGTCAGGCGGCTTCTTTCGCCAGCGATTCTTCCAGCGCCGCAGAGGATTGTGCGCACGCGGTGGGTGCAGGTGCTGTTTGGGGCGTCATCGCCCGAGAAAGTTCTGTCCTGACTGCCTACCAGACCACCCCAACCCAACTCGAAGGCCCCAGCTTCGGATGGGGAGATGCGGGCTCCACGTGCGTTTTTTTAATCTTCCCCCGACGCCTTCCTCACTGTTCGGGACGTCCTCCTCCTCCTCCTCTTCCTCCTCCTGCTCCTCCTCCTCCTCCTCCTCCTCCTCCTGCTACTCCTCCTCCTCCTCCTGCTCCTCCTCCTCCTGCTCCTCCTCCTCCTCCTGCTGCTCCTATCTCTGCCCAGCGTCCGGCCGATGCCGCCGTGCCCGGACCCCCCCCCCCCCAACAAGAGCGGGACATCCTCGCTCTCTCCTGGGCCTCTCTCGCGCGGGCGCGAGGAGAGGCCCCTTCTCCCCTGACCTTCCAGAGAGCTATTTTTTTAGCACTGGAAACCTAAAAACCTAAAAAACGAGACGAAACAGCCTAAAACCAAGACGTAAGATAGCTCTGGGATAGGTTTTTACGTCGGGTGCTATTTTTTAGCCCTCCTGGAAGGTCAGGGTCGCCCCCCCACCCGCTCGCCACCAATTTTCAGGGCGTCGTCGCCCGAGGAGATGGTGTCCGGCGTCCCACCGACGCCGCTCTGCCCCGAACCCCCGCAACGAAGGGGGCCCAGGGACACCCAGATAAATTACCTGACAGCGAAGACCGATAGGTTTCGAGTGGTCTCAGAAGAGAGCATCATGACTCCCCAAGGGGGTCTGGGCGGGATCCGGACGGGATCCGGGGACATCTTTTCTAGCCAACGGTAACGCACTTCGTGGTCTTCGAGTTCCCAGAGCTCCATTCCTGGGCATGATTTTGAATGCCCGGAGCCAACTGTAGGCCACTTGGTGGTCTTCGAGTTCCTAGAACTCCATTCCTGGGCATGATTTTGAATGCTGATGCAGGCTGAGGCTGAGGCAGGCTGAGGCTGAGGCCGAGGCTGAAGGCAGACTGAGGCTGAGGCTGAAGCGCGTGGACCTCCGAGCTTTTATGTTTATGTCACTTTTTGTTCCCCTATTATATCAGGACGGCATCCCTGGAAGCCCCGACCCTCTTCCCAGGACCGGTTTTTCGTCCTGAGTCGTTTTACCTAACAGCTCTTGCTGATAGGTTTCTAGTGGTCTCAAAAGAGAGCATCATGACTCCTCAAGGGGGTCTGGGCGGGACCCGGACAGGCTGCCGCCGCGGCTGCCGCCGCACTCGTTTTTCGCAAACAGTCACACACTTCGTGCTCTTCGACCTCCCAGAACTCCATTCCCGGGCCACATTTTGGATGCCCGGAGCCAACTGTAGGCCACTTCGTGCTCTTCGACTTCCCAGAACTCCATTCCCGGGCCACATTTTGGATGCCCGGAGCCAACTGTAGGCCACTTCGTGCTCTTCGACTTCCCAGAACTCCATTCCCGGGCCACATTTTGGATGCCCGGAGCCAACTGTAGGCCACTTCGTGCTCTTCAAGTTCCCAGAACTCCATTCCTGGGCATGATTTTGAATGCCCGGAGCCAACTGTAGGCCACTTCGTGTTCTTCTAGTTCCCAGAACTCCATTCCTGGGCCACATTTTGAACGGCAGGCTGATGCTGCGGCCGAGGCAGGCTGAGGCTGAGGCAGGCTGAGGCTGAGGCCGAGGCTAAAGGCAGACTGAGGCTGAGGCTGAAGCAGACTGAGGCTGAGGCTGAGGTAGGCTGAGGCTGAGGCTGAAGCAGGCTGATGCTGAGGCAGGCTGAGGCTGAGGCTGAGGCTGATGCAGGCTGAGGCTGAGGCAGGCTGAGGCTGAGGCCGAGGCTGAAGGCAGACTGAGGCTGAGGCTGAAGCAGGCTGAGGCTGAGGCTGAGGCAGGCTGAGGCTGAGGCAGGCTGAGGCTGAGGCTGAGGCAGGCTGAGGCTGAGGCTGTGACTGCGACTGCCGTTGCCGCTGCGACTGTCATCGCGAATGCGACTACGACTGCGAGAACAGCAGAATTCTACAACTGGATTTTCATCTGAATCTTAAGGGGAATGCTTTCAGATATGCTTCTACACATCGCTGTTAGGTTGCTTTGCCGGGATAATTTTCACGGTCCCGAAGCCCGGCGAGGGCCCCCCTGGGGCCGAACATAGCCAAAAACCTCCCGTCCTGATGTTTTTACGACTCGATCATGCCTGGGAACGACTGGCAACACCGCGACGAAGCACGACCGAGGCCCCAGACCCCCACCCTTCCGCCGAGCTGCTCCTCGAGCCAGACCGGTCCGTGGTGGCCCCGGGGGCACCGAGGCCGGGCGAAACCGCCCCGCGAGCACCAAAACGCGGTGCCCCGACCTCGGGCGAGCAGCTTCGCCGCCCGCGGCATCGGGCGGCCCGCGCAGCTCGCGGCCCCGGGCGCGCTGACCCCCCCCCGCCGCCCGCCGCCCGCGGGGGCGCCGCCGACGCGGCCTCGGCGGCGTCTTCGGCGCCCGCGGCGTGGGCTCCAGGGCGGGTGGCGGCTGGCGCAGCGCGGCGGGAGCGCACCTCGGCTTCAGGATCAAGCAGCATCGAATCGGGACGTCGGGTCGGATCGGAGTGTGCGCCGGAGCGGCCCGTGTCGGCGCGGAGTCGGAATCGAAGCGGGTCGGCTGCGCCAGGATGCACAACAGCGCCATGTCTGCGACAGGATGCGCAACAACGCCGTGCAAGCATCGGGCCGCATCGGATCGCCATAGTAATGGAATTGGATCGGATCGGATCGGCTGGAATCGACGTCGAATCGGATCGGAATGTACCTGGAGCTCTGGATGGTTCAATGAGGCACTTTCAGGGCGCCAGCGTGATTCAAGCACTTGTAAGACATTTCAGCGATTTTGGCCTGATCGCTTTCCCCGCTTCCTATGAGCGTCAGGGATCCCCAGGATGGCCCCTCGGGGCTGGAAGGGGAGACACTACTGCCACCCAGCGATATCCCACGCGACCCTCATGGTTACCCCAGATGCGAGGCGTTACCGGGGCCCGTAGCCGACATCGTCAAGGCGACCTACCGGGGGCCCACTGCTGCGATCGTGGGCTAAGGGCACCGAACCTCGCGCTCCGCGCCGCCAACTGCGCGAGGCGGGCGCTCACAGTTGCCCTTGCGCTCTCGCGCGGCCGCCCTGGAGAGAGTGCAGCTCTGTGGCCCCTCGGGTGCCCCCCTGCGCACGGCTGCCCCCCCCCTCTGAACCCCCTTCGGCATCCAGAGGAGCGGCGCCCCGCGGGCACGCAGAGGGTGCCTCGCCCTCTCCCAGGTGTTGCCATACCAGCAGCGCTCGCTTCTTCCTGAGCCCCTGGGGGGCCGGGCGGAGCGAGCCCCGGCTGGAGCCCAAAGCGGACTTGGCTTCCCTGGGCGCTGCCGGACATAGAATGCCACCATCTCTCCCCTGTGAGTCTAGAGGAGCGCCGCCCCGCCCGACCGGCGCCGTCGTCGCCGTGGCCGCCGCCGCCGCCGCCGCGGACGCCGCCGCCACCGCCACCGCCGCAGCCGCCGCTGCCGACGTCGCCGCCGCCGCCGCCGCCGCCGCCGCCGCCGCCGTCGTCGTCGTCGTCGTCGTCGCGTCGTCGTCGGTCGTCGTCGTCGTCGTCGTCGTCGTCTTCGTCGTCGTCGTCGAGGCCGACAACTGCCGCAAACCGCCCGCGCCGATTTTTTTTTTTTGGAGCGGCGGCTCTGGGCTCCGTGGCGCCACGCCTTGCCCGTGGCTCTCGGCCAGGCCCAGCCCCGGCGAATGGCCGCCGACGGGCGGGGCGCACCGCCGAGAGGAGGTGGCGGCGGCGGCGCGTGCCCGAGGCCCGCGCGCATCGGCGGCTGCCAGGCAGGGCTGCCCGGGCGCCTCCGCGCCGGTCGCGGCGGCCGCCGCGGCCGCGGCCACGGCCGCCGCCGCCGTCGCCGGCTGGCCCAGCGGCGCCTGGCCGTCGGCAGCGGCGACGACGGCGTCGGCGCGACGGCGGGGGGGTCTGAGGCGGCCCGGTACTGAAGGGAGGGCGGGGGTTGGAGGTGTTGGGCTCGAGCTTTGTTTTTTTGTTTGTTTGTTTGTTGTTTCTTTGTTTGTTTGTTTGTTTGTTTGTTGTGGTTGTGGTTGTGGTTGTGGTTGTGGTTGTGGTTGTGGTTGTGGTTGTTGTTGTTGTTGTTGTTGAATATTATTACTTCTAAAGAATAATTATTGTTGGGCCCCCTGGTGCACGCCCCCCCCGCCGCGCCTAGGCCGCAGCCACGTTTTCATCATTTTCGTGAAGAAGCCTCAGGCAAAACGATGTCATCCAGATCCGGTTGTTTTGTTGACGCCCGCTTTCCCTTGCAAAAAATAAGCTACAGTGGACATTTCTTGTTCTAACATATCCAAACTTCAAGAATCCCTTGCAAAAGATAAGGTAAAGTGGACATTCGCGCGCGCAAGACGAAATCCTTCCAAAACCTTAGTTTTCGTAGCGATTTTAACATAAAAACATCAAAAAACCAATGGTTTTTCAACAAAAAATTGTCAAAATTTCATCCCGCGCGCTCTTGCGGATTCGTAGGAAACCCAACACTTTTTAAACATTTCTGTCAAACGGGCTTTTGCGAGCAACTTTTTCGAACTTCTGCAACAACGGTTGCGCACCTGCCAGGGCCATCATCCCTGTCAAATAATACCATGCGGGACACATTCGTTTTTTCTTCGCGCGCGCACGCCGTCGTCGTCGGCCGCGGGGCCCTGAATAGTAGCCACGGTCGTCCGCATGCCACGAAGTGAAGTGTCCGAACGTCATAGGGCGGGAAGCTGGGTGTGGGTGGTGGCGAAGAGTCGTTTGGAAATTTGGTAGAGCTTGAACCGGCCCCCCCACAAAGTGGGGGTATTGCCTGCCTCCTATGAAAACCCTGGCACTGGTGAGAACGGAGTGTCCCCACGTGCTAGTAATTGTTGTTGTTGTTGTTGTTATTATTGTTTTTTTGTTCCCTACCTAGGCTCTGCCTAGAGGGTTCTTACTCTCTTAGCTTAAAGGGGCCGGGCAGTGCACAACGCCCCGGGCGGTTCCCCCAGTCCCCGCCCCGCGGTTCCCCCAGTTGCGCCCCCTGGGTTCACCCAGCTTGGCTTGAATAAGCTTTGCTTAGCTTAGCTTAGCTAAGCTTAGCTTAGCTTATCTCATCTTAGCTTAGCTTAGCTTGGCTTAGCTTAGCTTAGCTTAGCTCAGCTTATCTCATTTTAGCTTACCTTAGCTTAGCTTACCTTTTCTCATCTTAGCTTAACTTAGCTTAGCTTTGCCTAGCCTAGTCTAGCTCAACTTTAGCTTAGCTTTAGCTTAGCTTTAGCTTTAGCTTTAGCTTTAGCTTTAGCTTTAGCTTAGCTTTAGCTTAGCTTTATCTTAGCTTTAGTTTTGCTTTAGCTTAGCTTCGGCTTAGCTTTAGCTTAGCTTTAGCTTAGCTTTAGGTTTAGGTTTAGCTTTAACTTTAGCTTTAACTTAGCTTTAACTTAGCTTTATCTCAGCTTTAACTTAGCTTTAGCTTAGCTTTAGCTTAGCTTTAGCTTAGCTTTAGCTTAGCTTTAGCTTAACTTCAGCTTAGCTTCAGCTTAGCTTTAGCTTAGCTTTCAGTAGCTTTAGCTTAGCTGAAGCTTAGTTTTAGCTTAGCTTTAGCTTAGATTTAGCTTAGCTTTACCTCCGCTTTACCTCAACTTTAGCTTAGCTTTAGCTTAGCTTTGGCTTAGCTTTAGCTTAGCTTTAGCTTCGCTTTAGCTTAGCTTTAGCTTAGCTTTGGCTTAGCTTTACTGTTCCTACTCTTGCTGCTTTCCTAGGGGCTCCAACTCCTAGGTAGGGTCGCACTGGGATAATTGTTGTTGTTGAGTTCTCATTTCTGAAGAATGGTTCCCTACCTAGGCTCTGCCTAGAAGGGTTCTTACTCTCTATCTTAAAGGGGCCGGGCAGTGGAAACCGCCCCGGGCGGTTCCCCCAGGATCCGCCCCGCGGTTCCCCCAGCTACGTCCCCTTAGCTTACCGTTGCTTATCTCATCTCAGCTTAGCTTATTTCATCTTAGCTTAGCTTAGCTTCATCTTAACTCAGGTTTATCTTAGCTTAGCTTACCTTCATCTTAGCTTCGCTGAGTTTTAGCATAGCAGGGCACAGCATAACATAGCATAGCGCAACACAACATATCATATCATAGCCCAGTGCACCATCACATAGCGCAACATAGCATAGCATAGCATAGCATAGCATCGTGCAGCTTAGCATTGCATATCATATCAAACCATAACTTAGCATATCACAGCGCAGCATGCCTTACCATAACATAGCTTAACATCGCATAGCATAGCAGAGCGCAGCATAACATAGCATAGCATATCATAGCGCAACATAGCATGGCATATCATAGCATAGCATGGCAACTACTGCTGCTTTCCTAAGGGCTCCAACTTCTAGGTAGGGTCGCAATGGGGTAATTATTGTTGACCCCCCCCACCGGTGCATACTGTTTTTTCTCAATCACAATGTGCTCTTCGACGCTCGCACCCTGTTTTTTGACAAGGAAAATCTTCCTGCTCAAGCTGGGCCCCTGGCCCCCGGGTTACAACAACAACGGCTCCCGCTTGAGATGTCCTCACAATTTAGCCAGGACCCCCGCTCCAGCCCGAGACTTCCTCGCATTTTATTGAGGAATCGCGCTCTCGCTTGGGACTTCCTTACAATGTATTCAAAAATTGCTCTCCCGGCGCTCTGGAGTCGCGCTCTCGCTGGAGACTTGCTTGCAACTTACTGAAGAATGGCCTTGCGTTGGAATTTCCTGCAATTTGCCCAAGCGCCGCGCTCCCGACACCCAGGCACCCAGGAGTCGCGCCCCATGTGCATGCCCTTCGTGGCCCCGCTGTCGCCATTGTGTCCCCCTCACTGTCCTACGTGGCCCAGTTGCTACCCTCAGTGGCCCCATAGTTGCCTTCTGTGGCCCCGCATTATCTGCACTTCGTGGCCCCCGCTCGTTCGCGCTCTTCGTGGCCCCATACGCATTCCCTTCGTGTCCCCGCTGTCGCCCTTCGTGGCCTACTTCGTGCCCTTCGTGGCCCTGCTGTCGTTCTCTCTCGCTCTCGCTTTCGCTCGTCGTCGCGTCGTCGTCGTCGTCGTCGCCGTCGTCTTCGACGTCGTCGTCGTCGTCGTCGTCGTCGTCGTCGTCGTCGTCGTCGTCGTCGTGGTCGGTCCCCTGTCCGTCCCTCTTGGGGTCGGGTCGACGGTCCGCGGCCGCCCCGCCGATCAGCGCTGCCACTGGCCAGGCCGACGGTCCGCGGCCGCCCCGCCGCTTGCCGGGGCCCTGCCTGCAGGGAAGAAAGGTATACCCCTCGAAAGGGGTTCGATCGAAGACGAAGAGGGTGGGTATCGAGGGTTTGGGAAATACGCGTTATTGGACACTCGAGCATATAAGGGCGAACGGTCTTAAAATTATTATTGTTGTTGTTGTTGTTGGTGTTGTTGTTGTTGTTGTTGTCTTTTTCGGCCTATGCCGTCAAAAACAGACCCGGGGGAAATCCTGCACCAGATGGGCCCTGGGAGGGGTATTTTTTTTTTCGGCCTGGAGAAGGAAGGCGAGGGAATGGATGAGGGAGGAGGAGAAGCAGGAATAACGACGAGGAATGATGACAACGAAAGAGGAAGATAAGGAGGGAGCCGGAGAAGGTCGCTTCCGGCTCAAGGCGCGACGACGGAGCAGGCGAGCATGCTTGACGCCCGACGCTGGGAAAGCATGTCCTCGACCCGATGCTCCCCGCAGTGGCAGGTTGCATCCACTGCTGCACTACCGCGCGGTGCTCAGCCCCAGGCCACTGGCAGGCGAGAACCACCGCGCTCGAACCAGCGACGAACCGTCGCGGCTCGGACCCACAAACTCAGAACTGACACGGCGTGAGGGCGCCAGCACCCCCCCTTGCTCCGCATCCCCCCCCCCAGTACCCCCTCCTCCGGCAGCGCCGGCGGCTCAGTCCTGATCGACGACTGCGACGGACCACTTCTCTCGTCCCACTGGCTGCCGCTCGACATGGAGGCCGATGCCCTCCGGGGCCTGCTCCGCCGCAAGCTTCAGTCCGAAGGATCCGACCCGGTCCCAGTGGTCGAAGCTCAGGTTCCCGGGCGGCTTCTCCAGCTTGAAGTGCACCGCCACGCTGCCCCAGTCGCTCGGGATGAGCGCCGCCTCCACCTGCGCGTATGCAACCCTGTGGGCTCCCTGTATGAGTTCTGTCACCTGGCCAGAGACAAACTTGTAAAAGCATGACTACTCCAGATTTCGTGATAAAGGGAGGGGGGTCTCATTTCGGGGGGGGTCTCATCCAGGCTATCTTGGAGGGCCTGGGGGGGTCTGGGGACGATGTTTTGGAGGGTTCTCCCACGGGGGGGGTCTGAAATGGCTTGTCTTGGAGGGTCCAGACCCCCTCCCTTTTATTACGAAATCTGGAGTGACTTTCGAAGGGCCGCGCGGAGTTCTTGGGTCGGCGCTGGAGCGCGCCAAGGGCGCTGCCTCTGGCGCCGCCACAGGGGGCCGGGCCCAGCGCAGATGCCAGAAATCCGCAGCGGACCCTCCGACAGCCTGCGCGGATGCTGGCTTCACACTCCCTCGGCCACCATGGCGGGGACTCGCACGGCGCCCTTCTCCTCGATCCGGGAAGCCTTCACCTGAGGGGGAGGTGAATTGGGGGACTGGCTCAGGGGGGGAAGCACCGAGCCGGAGTCGGCGATGCGTCGCCGACAGATCGGCCACAGGCTCCGAGCAGCGCAGCCGCATGTTCATGGGCGGAGTGGGTTATCGGGCCCCCATCCCAGACCCCCAGCGTCATGACTTTTTCAGAACTTCGACCCTCAAAGATCTCCACCCATTCCCCTGGACCGGTTCTTCATCCTGAGACGTTTTTTGACGGTCCCGAGGGCCAGTAAGGGCCCCCAGAGGCCGAAAATAGCCCAAAACCTTCCGTCGTGTTTTTTTCAGGACTCGAGGGGGGTCTGGGATCGGCGATTGACGAGCTAATGGTGGTCGATGCGTTCCCCCCGGAGCCTATACAACATGGTGGTCTTCGGGCCACAGCTCGGGCCTCTGGCGGCCGCTGGGAACGATCCCTGGGCACCCCCCAGGACGCTCTCGGCGAGGCGCAGCCGCCGGAAGGCATCCCGAGCCAGGGAAGCCGCTGAGCAGCGACGAAAACGCACCAAAAAACCTCGATCCTCGAACCCTGTAACCCTGTTAAGCCTGTCCCCCCCTTAACGTTGCCCCTGACCACCTGCTCTGGGACGGAGCTGTTCAGGAAGTACCACGGCGGCTGCGGTGGCGCCCGTCCATCGCTGGTCGCCGCTCCGGCAGCGCTGGAGCTCTTGGCCCTTCCCGCCCGGATCTTCTCGGTCTGCCCTTGCACGTCGACGACGGAGGCAAACGACAGCAGCTCCGACGAGGGCCGGAGCTGCGTCAGCTGCGCCGGTTCCTCCTCTCAGAGTTGGCGGCGCGCACAAGAGGGTAGGGGGAGGGGGAAGGCTTCTCAGAAGGAGACTGCTTCTCAGGAGGCGCCGTCCTTACGTTCATAGACGAGGGCGGCGCCTTCTAAGAAGCAGCCCCCTCTTAAGAAGCCTTCCCCCTCCCTTCCCCCTATCCCCTCTCCGCGCGGCCGCCAGAGGGCAGCACAAGCAAGATCATGCCTGTTCACGGGTCTGCGCGGGCTTCCAGGGTTCGGCGCTGGAGGTGGGGCGCTCGAGGTGGTGGGGAGAGAGTCCGGCGCCGACCCAAGACATCTCTGGGGAACTCCAGAGATCTCTTGTCATCCTTGCTCTGTTTCTTGTTCTTCGATCCTCCTCCTTCGCCTTCGGGCCCTTTGGGTTCAGCTGGCCGCGGCCGCCGACGCCGACCTTCAGCGCGAACTCCGCTGGCGTTGCTGGATGCTTCTTGGCGCGGGCCGCGGCCACGGCGTCGGCGCCGTACACGAACAGGTTGAGGCCGATGGCCAGCGACGCCGAGTCTTTGAAGGCGAAGCCGCTCAAGTCGGTGTACAGCTCGTACGACTGCGTGACCTCGCTCCAGACCAGCGCATCCACAGCGAGGCGATTCTTCCCCTTGCGGAGCCACCTGGTCACGTCCACGAAAAAGCCCGGCTCCACGGAGCCAGGGCACCAGCCGTTGCGCTTCTCCCACCAGGTGCCGATCTGCGTGGTGTTGACGCCGACGGGGTTCTCCTTGCAGTCGTCCCTGAACTCCGAGATGTTGTGCGCAAGCTCTCCGTTGAAGCGCAGCTGGTACAGTGCATGGCAGAACTCGCCGCACTGCTCGGTGGTGGAAGACCAGCCGTGCCCTGTGACGGTCAGCTGCAGTACGACCGCGTCCTCCCCGCGCACGAAGTCATCCAGGTGGAAGCTGCGCTGGAACAACCGCCCCTGCCGGCGCTGCTCGATCACGCAGACGCTGCTCACCGTGTCGTTGGCGCCGTCCTTGGCCGCGATCGGCGCCTCGAAGGTGTCGTTCGCCCGCAGGAGCGGGACCGTGCCGATCATGTTCGGGGCCCCTACGGTGAACGCGGCGGTGTGCTCGTCCTCGTCGTGGCCGAGGGAGAACAGGAACTTGGCAGGCTCTGCCTCCTTGGCAGCCTCCTTGGCATCCAGCCTGTACGGGAGCAGCAGCTTCACATCGCGGATGGCCGCCAGGGGGTCCTTCGGAGGCGGCAGCTTTGCCCTCTCCGCGGCGAAGTTGCCCACCGTCCTCAGCATCGCCCGCAGCTCGGGCAGTGCCTTCTTGCTCCTTGGCGTCATCAAGTGCGGCACGACCGACCCCATCTTGGTCTTGTTGGTCGGGATGCACCCGCTCTCCAGGAACACGCTGGCCGTCTTGTTGGTCAGGGCCGTGATCGTGCCCACCTGCTTGAAGGGGAACGTCAAGTTCCACCACACTCCCTTCTGCATCTCCTGTTGATGGCGGGCCGAGGGGGGCAGGTGAGAAGGGGCAAGCCTTCTCAGAAGGCGGCGGGGCTTCTCAGAAGCCCTCCGGCCTTCCGAGAAGCCCTCTCTGGCCTTCTTGGAGAAGGCTTGCAAAACTTCTGCGCAGGGCCGAGGCCTGCAAAGAGTTCTGTGGAGGTCCGCCCCCCCTGCCTTCCCCCCTGGGCGCGCCGCAGATCCTGGTCCGTGAAGACGTCGCCGGGGCGGAAATACACCGGCATGCCGACCTCGAGCTCGGCCTCCTCCGAGCTGTACTCCAGCACGAGGCTCTGGTTGCCGTGCGCCCCGGCGGGGTCCTCCGCCGCCGCGCCGAACACGATGAACTCGTCCATCGCCATGCTCCTGTAGGTCTCGTTGAGGAGCTTCTCCGCGGCGGTGGTGTTGCCGTCCTTCCGCGTCGACGCTACCATGTGCTGGGCCAGGAGGCCCATCCTCCAGAGGAAGAAAAACAGCATAAACATAAACCTGCGGAGCTCCAGGCGGACTTCCGGAATCGGCGCTGGACCCCCCTCCCTGTCGCGCAAAGCATGCCAGGGGCGGAGCTGGAGGCGCCGCCAGGGGGCCTAGCGAAGATCCAAGAAATCCGCGCGGACCTTCGACGATTTATGTTGATGACACCTCTTTTCTTCAACGTCCTTGCCGCGTACTCCATCTCCGCTGTGCCCTGGTTGCACTCGTACACGTGCACGTTCTCTGCCCCCTCGAAGTCCACGGCCTTCTCCAGCAGGACCGAGCTGCCGTTTGAGGCGAGTTTGGCCGTGTGCACGGCCACCCTCCCGAAGTCGTAGTTCCCGCCGTAGAAACCCGAGCTGAGCGTTACCGAGTGCTTAGGCCGCACCGATGCCTCCGAGGAGGAGGAGGAGAAGCAGGAGCAGGAGGAGGAGGAGGAGGAGGAGGAGGAGAAGCAGGAGCAGGAGGAGGAGGAGGAGGAGGAGGAGGAGGAGGAGGAGGAGGAGGAGGAGGAGGACCGACACCGCGACCCTTCCCTCGTTTTCGCCTTTGTTGGACCTCTGGATTCGCCTCGAAATTTATTTCAGAGCGCACCCCTGGAGAGGTCTGGGAGAGTAGAAGTGTTGGTTCTTTTTTGGTTTCCCCAAAGCCGTCTGGCGCCCGGCCGACGACTCAGCCTTCGGCCAGAAGACCAGCTCGGCGGACAGCGACCAGCCGTTGCCCTGGGACCGCGCGATAGGGTAGCACTGCTCGGTGATGTTGTTCATGTACATGGCGTCTGAGCCGGTATCGTTGTTCACCTGGAAGAAGAGAAACAGCATGAGCATAAACTCCAAGAACTCCGCGCGGATTTCTTTGATCAGTGATGGACCCTCCGCCCTAGGGTAGGGGCTCGGCGCTGGACCCCAGCCGGGGTCCAGCGCCGACCCTAGAAATCCGAGCGGACCTTCAAACGTTCGTGTTTCTGCCGTTTCCTTCGATCACCCACGTGTCGATGAACGAGTACAGCGACAGCCCCCCGCCGCCAGCCCTCTCCGCCTCCAGCAGCGGCGAGTAGGGCGTCAGGTCCACGAGCGACTCGATCCCAGTGCCGTAGGCGGTGACGAAGCGCAGCAGCTCCACGGTCTGGTCTCTGTGGTGGTCCTCGTCCTCGGGGGCACTGCGAGGGGGGGGATCGGCTCAGGGAGGGGAAAACGTTGAGCTGGACCTGGCGATGCATCGCCGACAGATCGGATAGCGCAGCCGCATGCTCCTGGGCAGAGTGGCCTGGCGGGCCCCCCTCGGCGATCGCTGGGCTATGGATGGTCGATGCGTTCCGCCTGTGCCATGCCCAAGTGATTTTCGGGTACAACTCGGGCCTCCAGCGGCCGTTGCGGACGATCTGGGCACCCCCCCGGAACGCCCTCGGCGAGGCGCGGCCGCTGGAAGGCACCCCGAGCCAGAGAAGCCGCCGAGGAGCGACGAGAACGCCCGAGATCCTCGAACCTCGAACCCCTGGAACCCTTTTTGAGCCTGCCCCCCCCCCCCTCTGCGTTGCCCCTGACGTCCATCGGCTTCCCCGGCGCGTCCATGCCGTAGACGTCCGCCAGAGGCGGCCCGCGGCCCAGGACCAGGGCGTCGAGGGGGCGGAGCAGGGCGCCGAGGGCCGCGAGCGCGGCGGGGGCGCGGGGCGGCATGCTGGCCGGGACGCTGCACACGCTTTGGCGTCGGCGGCCAGGCAGAGTGACTGCGCTGGCGGTGAGAAGCTGCATACGGGTGGGGGCATTGGATGAGGAACCCCTAGATAAAGAGACCAGGGTCTGGAAGCCGGTGGAACTCCAATCGAGGCTTGGCCACGGATATCACCACCGCCCTCATTGGATAAGGAATCCTCCAGGGTCTGGCGCCTCCTGGGACTACTCCTTAGCAAACGCCTCCAGCATACACACAGACGAGCGCGCTCCACTACTTACTCGTAAGAGAACTGCTCGCACATGGCCTGGCTCCGCCGCGGGGGATCTGCGCGATCTCGTGCGTCGAGGCGAGCATGTGCTCTTCGGACGCCTGCGAGCAGGCGCTTCGCGAGCAGCGGCACGTGCTCGGTGCACACACACCCACACGCACGCGCGGCCGGGCCACCGAGTGGCTCCCTGCCGCTGCCGCGCGCGGGAGGCACCGGCGCAGGGCTGGCGTTGGCAGCCAGGCTCGGGGCTGCGCAGAGGCGGCCCCCCTCCGGGCAGTCCTCCAGCAGGCCTCCACAGGCCCCCCGCGCAGCCTGGGGCGGCCTCAGCGCCCCGGCGCCGGCGGCGGCGGCGCCCCTCGGGCGCTCTCCGCGCCCCACGGCGGGTGTGCTGAGAGGCCCCTTCGGGCTGCCGTCGGGCTGCTGAAGTAAGGAGCCCACAGCACGGAACGAGAAGCCCTCTCTTGGGCCCCAGGGGCGCCTGCGTGCCCAGGGGGGCCAGAGGAACCGCCATGGGGAAGGACCTGAGCAGCATCGATCCCCGTCCGAGCCCAAAGGCGGTCCTTATCTCAGCGTCCTGGCTGTAGGACTACCTGGAGGGGGGGCTGTCTGTGCGCAGCCGGAGGCCTTACCAGCGCACAGGCGGGAGGCCGGCGTGCCCAGCCACACGAGCGCCCGGCGCCTTGCAAGGCGTGTGGCCACGAGCGCGTCCAGCTCTCGCGCAGGCTGGTCGTGTCGTGCGTGTGCAGCGTCCCCGTGCTGACTTATGGACTCGCCAGGGCTGGCGATCGTCGTGTGGATTGGTCAGTCCGAGGGGAAAGACATGGAAGGGGGGGCAGCCCTGCAAGCCGGGCGCAAGAGGCTGGGCCCGAAGCTACGGACTATCCCCTCCTTTTGCTCATGTCCCCCCTCCTCCTCCTCCTGCTGCTTCATGTCCCCCAGATCCCCCTCTCCCAACCCAGCAACAAATCGATTTACCTTCTTCCTTCCTCCCCCTCTCCTCCTCCTCTTCCTTCTTTTCCTCCTCCTTTTGATCCCCGCCAGTTCCCCCGACACCACTCCCCCACCCCAGCAACAAAAACGTTCAATGATATTCTCTCCTCCTCCCCCCTCCTCGGTCTCCCCCTCCTCCACATAATTTTCCTCCTCCTCCTCCTCCTCCTCCTCCGCCATATCTCCTCCTTATACATTCGCCGGCCCAACGGGCCAGAGGCGTGCTAAGATCTCTGGTAACTGGTTAACGCTATTTCTAGTTCGCGCGCGCGGGGCGGCCCCTGGGGGCCCCCGGACGACAAATACCTTGGCCGGGTCCCGGTCAGGTCCCCCCAGAAAACTCCAGGGGAGGGCCATTCTTCGACACCCCTCACGAGGATCGTGGCCTCGGAAGGAGAAACCGCAATTCACCACCTCCGCCTCCCGCCCCAAGAGCTCCCCAAGAGCCCCCAAACAGGCCCCAGAGGCACCCAAGACGCCGCCAACGGCCTCCAAGAGGCCCTCAAGAGGCCACCAAAGGCCCAAAAGAGGCCCCCAGGGGGCCTCGAAGAAGCCCCACAGACGCCACAAGACGCTCCAAGGAACTAGAACACTTGTTCCAAGAAGCCTCCAGAGGGCCCCAAAAGGCTCCCAGAGGTTCCGAAGAAAGTACCTCCTAGACGCTGCTTGAAGCTTCAAACCTGCATCCCAGAGGTCCTACAAAGACCAACCTGGCTGGATACGCCGAAGACAACTGCATATTTCAGCTACGTCCCGGCCTACTCCCGCCCGACCTGCATATTTCAGTTACGTCCCGGCCCACTCCCGTCCGACTTTCGGTCGAAGCTTCAAACCTGCATCCCAGAGGTCCTACAGAGGCCAACCTGGCGGGATACGCCGAAAGAATCTAGATATTTCAGCTACGTCCCGGCCCACTCCCGTGTGACTCTCGGTCCAAGCTTCAGAGATGCATCCCAGAGCTTCTGCAGAGGCCAACTTGGCTGGATACGCCGAGGACAACTGCATAGTTCAGCTACGTCCCGGCCCACTCCCGTCCGACTCTCGGTCGAACCTTCACATTTGCCTCCCAGAGGTCCTACAGAGGCCAACCTGATGCTGCTGCTGATCATGATGATGATGATACTGCTGGTGAGTAGGATGCTGATGAAGATATGCTGAATCTGATGATGATGATGATGATGATGATGCTGATGCTGATGCTATGATGCTGCTCGTGACGATTACGATGATAATGCTGATGATGCTGCTGCTGATGATGCTGATTCTGATCAGGATGCTGATGCAGCTGCTGCTGACGACGACGATGATGCTGCTTCTGCTGCTGCTGCTGACGACGACAGCGATGATGATGATGATGATGATAATGATGATGATGATGATGATGATGATGATGATGATGATGATGCTGCTGATGATGATGATGATGATGACGAGGAGGAGGAGGAGGAGGAGGCGGAGGAGGAGGAGGAGGAAGAAGGAGAGGAGGACGACGACAACGCAACGGGCGAGGATGCCCCTGGGGCCAGGCCTCTGGGCCCACCAGGAACTCGCGCGCCTTCTTGATCGCATCGAGCTCCTTTGAAGGGCTGCGGTGGGGGGCTTGGGCTGGGAGAGGGAGGAAGGGGCGAAGCGGAGGAGAAGGAGGAGGAGGACGAGGAGGAGGAGGAGGCGAGGAGGAAAACGACGATGATGATGCTGATGATGCTACTGCTGCTGCTGCTGCTGCTGCTGCTGCTGCTGCTGCTGCTGCTGATAATGGTGACGATGATGATGATGATGATGATGATGATGATGATGATGATGATGATGATGATGATGATGATGATGATGATGATGATGATGATGATGATGATGATGATGATGATGATGATGATGATGATGATGATGATGATGATGATGAGATGATGAGGAGCGAGAATAGGAGGAGGACGACGAGGAAAAGGAGAAGGGAGACGGAGGAAGGAAGAGGAGGAGGAGGAGGAGGAGGAGGAGGAGGAGGAGAGGAGGAGGAGGAGAAGGCGGAGGCGGAGGCGGAGGAGAAGGAGGAGGAGGAGGAGGAGGAGGAGGAGGAGGGGAGGAGGAGAGGAGGAGGAAGAGGAGAAGGAGGAAGAGGGAGGAGGAGAAGGAGGAGAAGGAGGACGAGGAGGATGAGGAAAAGGAGGAGGAGGAGAGGAGAGGAGGAGGAGGAGGAGGAGGAGGAGGAGGAGGAGGAGGAGGAGGAGGAGAAGAGGAGAAGGAGGGAGAGGAGAGGAGGAGGAGGAGGAGGAGGAGGAGGAGGAGAAGGCGGAGGAGGAGGAGGAGGAGGGGAGGAAGACAAGCTAGGTGCGCTCGCGTCATATCTGACGTCCTACCCCTCCCTCCCATCCCTTACCATGGCGCTGATTTTCTCTATCCGCGGACGCGTGTCGTAGCGGACCTGTGGCTCCGCGCGCGCGTGCGTAGTGGGTGGTGGTGCGCGTGCGTGCGTGCGTGCGTGCGTGTGTGCGTGGTTGTGGTGGTGGTGGTGGTGGTGGTGATGGTGGTGGTGGTGGTGGTGGTGGTGGTGGTGGTGGTGGTGGTGGTGCGGCGCGGTGGTGGCGGGCGGATGGGCGCGCGAGAAAGAGGCCCGCGCTGGGGCGAGAACGCCATCCTGAACGACGGAGGCCAAACACCGATCCGAAAATGAGGCCCACGCTGCAGCGGGAGCACGATTCGGAACGAGTCGGGAGCAGAAATGAGGCCGGCGCCTCAGCGAGAGCATCATTAAAAAAGCAAGCGAAAACCCGTTTCCCGGGAATCCTGTGTGTAAAAAAACAATACGCGGGGGGCGTTCGGCCCGAAAATGACGCCGGCGCCTCAGCGAGAGTCGTTTCCCGGGATTTCCCGGGCATCCTGTGTGTAAAAAAACAGTACGCGGAGAATGCGCGGCCATCACCCGGACGCCATCAGGGGAAGAGGGAGAGTATTTTCATATTGAGTAATTGTGGAGGAGGAGGAGGAGGAGGAGGAGGAGGAGGGCGGAGGCGGAGGAGGAGGAGGAGGAAGGACATCCGCATAAAAGGGGGTATACGTCAGGAGGAGAGGAGGGGGAGGAGGGGGGAGGGGGGGGGGGGAGGATGAAGAAGTGGAGGAGGAGGGGAAGGAGGAGGGAGGAGGAGGGAGGAGGAGGAGGAGGAGGAGGAGGAGGAGGAGGAGGAGGAGGGAGGAGGAGGAGGAGGAGGAGGAGGAGGAGGAGGAGGGGGAGGAGGAGGAGGAGGAGCGCGCGTAATCATGGCAAGCGCGCTCGTGTCAGTTATCAAGGGAGGGGGCCTGCGCGCGCTGCCGCACGAGCCTGGTGAACCTGGCCAGGTGATGCGCGCGCCTGCGTGCCGAGGTGGGACCGAAGCAGGTGGTAAATGTGATATGCGAAGACAGCGCGACGGTGGATGCGCATGCGTCCGATCTCCATTCCCTTGAAATCAGACTCACCCCCGAACCAAGCCGAACCAACGAAGACTCGAGGGGAAGGAGCGTGGGTTGGAGACCGGCTGGGCGTCACGGCACTGGGCGCTTGATAGTTAATATGGAATGGCATCCGGGTTAGAACAGCCGAGTCGGCAGGAATGATGCGTTAGGGTCTCAACCCTTCCGCTGGTGATCCACGCGCCTGGCCTTTCATCAGGGGTGGAGGTCGAGATCGAGGAACCAGGAGGGGAGGCGACGAGAAATGAAGGCGGGCCTGCCATCCATCTGGTCTGGGACCGAAGAGAGCGTGGTATGTGAACCTGGAGCCGCGGGGGGCTTCTTTCTCGCGAGCGCCGCGCCTGCAGCTGCCTCTGCCTGCTCGTGCGCTCGCCGACGGACGAGGGGGGGAAGAGAAGGCGGGTCAGGGGTCCGGAGGGGAGGGGGGCCTCGGAGGACGGAACGAACAACAAGGCGGCGGAGCGCTGAGCGGCTGAGGTCTGGACGCGCCAGCATCGTGCGGGCCAGCTCACAGAGAGCGCCAGACGAAGAGGGCCCACCGCATGTGCTCGAGAGCGCAGTCGCTCGAGTGCTCGACCCCAACACCTGAATGTGCGATAGCGCATTCTATTGATGGCGCACCTGCGGCTTTCAAAGGTTCGTGCCCTCGAAGCCAGTGACAACGGCGTAGATCAGGGAGTCGGAAGATAGTGGAAGGGGAACGAAACAGCATGTGCCGCGCGTGCGACTCATGCTGCACAGGCCTCTCGGGGAAGGGAAAGAAATGCGCAACGTGCGACGCGCATGGGGGGATCAATGTTCGGTGCAGCGTCAAACCCGCGTCGGTCGGAGCTCGCGTCGCTGCGACCACTTTCGAACGTGACCACCCTGTCTGGCCGCCCGACGCAAACTGGTCTGAAAGGTCAGCCCCAGGGCCAAAGTGGATCCCGGGGTAACGTCACAAACTGCGCACGACGAAATTCGCCCATTAGGGCACAAGAGCGGCGGCGGCCACGCGAAGCGCCGCTCTCCTGGCGCCCTCAAGGGTTTCCCAAAGCGGGACAAGGCAACATTTCTTGGGCTGAAGGCCTAGGCTCGCAAGCTCAGGCGCTGCTTGGAATGGGGGGTGAAGGAGGGGAGCCAGAAAGAGGTCAGGGAGGACAGCTCCAACGTCGTCGACACAAGCACCAGCAGCAAGCTGGAGAGGACGAGAGGGAACGACTGCCGCCAAGCGTTCTTCCCTCGTGCACGGAGCTGGCCTCGGAAGTGCACGGCGCTCATTTGCTGTGCGCGAGACCCCGTCGATGGAGTCTGCAGAGTGGCTCCTTCCTGAGAGCCCATGGGGTGCCTCGTCGTGGGCATCTCTGGGGTCGCTACGGGAGATTTCGGAAAGCCTGTGACGTTCGGGCCCCGCTTTCACGAGACCGACAGCGTCGGCTGAGAGGGCCCGAGTCGCGTTTGAATATCAGTGAGGTAGGTTGAAGCGTTTGAGGACCTCCTGATGCTGGGAAGCTCTGCGTAAATATCAGAAGAAAAATGAAGCAAATGGGCGCCGGTCCGCGGCGCCGTCACCCATGCTGTGCGCAGACGGGCGTCAGCTTCCAAAATGACGGCCGCCTGTGAACCCCATGCAGGATGCTATGGACGAGCTCCCTGGCTGCAGAAGACTGTAGTGGCGAAGGGCAATCTGTGCGAGGGCCTTGCGGTCGGTGCTCTCAACGTGAGCGGCCCGAGAGGCCCCTCAAGCAGGTCGGCGAGGTAAGTCTGGGTGGTCCTCACTTTTGGGGAATCAAAACAACATTAAACTATTCAGGCCCGCTCCTCCTCCTCCTCCTCCTCCTCGTCGTCCTCCTCCTCCCTCCTCCTCCATTTCCTCCTCCTCCTCCTCCTCCTCCTCCTCCCTCCTCCCCCTCGCCCTCCCCCTCCCCTCTCCTCCTCCCTCCTCCTCCTCCTCCTCCTCCTCTCCTCCTCGTCCGTCCTCCTCGTCGTCCTCCTCGTCCCCTCGTCGTCCCTCGTCGTCGTCCTCCTCCTCCTCCTCCTCCTCCTCCTGCCTGCTCCTCCTCCCCTCCTCCCTCCTCTTCTCCTCCTCTTCCTCCTCCTCCCCCTCGCCCTCCTTCTCCCCCTCCTCCTCCTCCTCCTCCTCCTCCTCCTCCTCCTCCTCCTCCTCGTCCTCCTCGTCCTCCTCGTCCTCCTCGTCCTCCTCGTCCTCGTCCTCGTCCTCGTCCTCCTTCTCGTCGTCCTCCTCCTCCTCCATTTCCTCCTCCTCCCTCCTCCCCCCGGCCGGGCCGTCGCCAGAAAACAACCCTAGTGGCACTTCGCGCAGGATCGGTCGCCAGCCGCAGGGACAACCCGGCAGGCCCCACCTGGGGGGCGATTGGGGCCGGGGGAGGACGCCATCCCGTATTTCAAGGCTTTCGCGGGATCCTGGGGAGAAGGGGGGGGGGCAAGTCAGACTGAGGGAAGACGGGGAGATGGGTGTCTAAATGGTCCTGGATGACCTGTGAAGAGCAGGACGTGGCCTCGAGGATCTGGCGGCAGTGCTCGGTGATGGCCGCCGCCGTGTCTCTAGGCTCTCGCAGCACGTTGCCATCTCTAGGCTGGCTATGTTTGAATCCGTTGAAAATTAGCTGGGCTCCATGCCATCGCCTGCCGCATGGGGTCTCCTGCACCTTGTGGCCTCGGGGGGCCCCTGTTGGTGACAATGGGCGCGCCGCGCAGCTGCTTGAGCCATCTCCTCGAAGCGCTTCTGGTTCGTGGCCGTGGTGAAGCTGCGGGAGTTCTCGGGGTCGCTGATGCGCGCCAGCCCGCGTTCTGCAATCCCCAGGTAGCGCCTGCCGAGGTCGGTGGTGCTCTGGGGTCGCTGGGCGAAGTGGCTGTCCCAACGCCATGCCGCGTGGACAAGGGCTCGAAATCTCATGCTGTCCACCTCCGCCGCGCCGGCTTTCCCTTGGGCGTGAAGACCTTGTTGTAATTCTTTGCGCGTGATGCGGGCAGCCGTGGCCATGGGCTCCTTGGTCCTGGTCCACTTCTGATTGGTAGAGCCCAGTCTGACAAACGCTGAACTTCCTGGATCACGTCGACGCTGTAATTGCACTGGATGGCGAAGCGCGTGCTGGGCGAGATGAGGACGCGGTCGATGGTGCCCAGGGTCTCGGACGCGCGGGGGTAGCGCGCTGGTGGGGGCCCCCTAACTCCAGCATGCCACGCTGCCAGAGATCCCGCCAGAAAGGTTCAGTTCGTGGGGCCAGCTCATCTTGGCTCGCCGCCGCCGGATGCCAGGTCGAGCCTCGCGATGGGCACCGTAATCGTGCGCGTCGAGGCTCCGCGCCGCTCTGCCAGAGGCGGGGTTCTGATCGCTGAGATGCTGGATGCGGCTAGGGGGCAAGGAGCAGGGGGGACGCAGGTGGACGGGCAGACGATCGCAACTCCCCCCTTTTCGCGTTTGAGTACCATCAGCATTAGCCTGGCCAGCAGGGCTCCAGCTTTTTTTTTTTTTTTTTTTTTTTTTTTTTTTTTTTTTTTTTTTTTTTTTTTTTTTTTTTTTTTTTTTTTTTTTTTTTTTTTTTTTCAGCTGTGGCGGCTGGGAATACACCGCGGCATTGGAAGTTATGCGGAAGAGTGTGCGTGCGGAGAGTGCCCTCGCTGCCGTGCTCTTCTTCTTCTTCGTGCCGGGCGCCAGCAGGGGCAGCGCGCAAACGACTGTCTTGCGCGTGCTGGCAACCTGGCGGCACTCCGCTGCGTCGTGCGTGCTCGACCCGCCGGGTTGGCCCCCCTTTCGCTCGTCTGGTGCCGAGGCGCCCGGTCCCCCTGCCCTTGGGGGCACTCTCTGCGCGGGTGAGGTCAACGAGCAGTGGCCAAGCCGTCTGCAGCTGCGAGCTTCCAGAAGGGAGAGAAAGTGATGCTCAACATCTGAGGAGAGCCTTGAGCTAGGATATTTTTGGCTCGGAAAGAATATCGTTTCCAGCGTAGCAGACCACGTGCGTTCCATGCCACCGCTTTCAGCTCAGGGGAGGACTTGGTGTCTATCTCCTATGGCGTCCACCAGAATCACGTCCGTGCCGATGTACCAACACCTTCGATCGGAACGACGTGGAGATGGCATGGTAGTCGAGCTCGAAATGGGCCACTCCCTGGAGCAACCATGCCAGACGAGAGGGTTGGTCAGCACCTAGGGGTACCACTTCCACCGCGGGAATCGCGTCGGCGCTGCTGAGGCCTCTAGAGCGTGCGCACCTCCAGTCACGTTCAGGTTTGACGCGATGTAAGACTCGGTTTCTCTTAAAAACGCCCTGGGCGTTTTTTGCCGTTTTGCATTTTGGGCTCTTGACCAGCGAAAAACGCAGAAATAAATCGCGACGGTGTTTTAGCCTTTCGAGCTCTTTCGTTTTTCAGCGTGTTTAGGCCCGTTGCTGTGGATCATCATTAAAAAACATTTTTTTGGCCTTCTGGTCGAAGTCTGTTCCTTGTCTTCCCTGCTGTCTTCGCTCCCGCTCGATTCTGCCGCCATTCTCCCTCTCAGCGCTGAAAGCGTCCGACACCGGCCCGAAACAGGCCCGGAGGCCCCTGAAAACGCTAACAAAACGTAGCTGAACACGCAATCCACATAAATAGTTGTTTCCCGCGTTTCCAATTTTCTTGTTGAGACCTAACTAAAAGCGCTTTCTGAAAAGTAGGGTCCAACGCGCTGAATACAAACAAACGAGACAACGGTAAAACAACGCCCTTGGCATATCTAAGAAAACTGAGCGCCGCTGGCCCCCTCCGCTTGGAAACATCGCCATGTGCCACTGGGTAGCTGCAGATGCTGAGCGAGACGAACAGCACGAGCAATACCCTACAGGCGCGCTCCCATGTAGATGCACCTAGAAGGTGCGGCCAGGACTCTTGCCGTGGAGCGAGAACTGGTTTTCCGTGATGCCCGCGTGCGACAGCCATGATGTGGCGATGCCCTTTGACCACCGACTCCGCCGTGGGTTGCGCGCAACCGATCTGAAAGATGCCGGGGTCTGCTGGGCGATCCTGCTGAGCCAGGCGTGAGAGATCAGCCGTGCCAGCGGCACTCTCGCGGGCCTGAGCAAGAAACTGTTGAACTTCTTGAAGTTCCGAGTGCGTGCCGTTCTGTCGCTTCTCGACGCTCCCCGTGCGATCCCGAAGAGTGCAGATGCCATGCGGCTTAAAACGTCGCACGGGGACGGAGCGGCTCGAGCTCTGTGCTCTGGATGTGCGCCTGGGCTTCCTGCAGGATGTTCTGTATCTGCTTCGTGGCCGAATCCACCTGCACCCTGAACGCTGTCCACACGACGGCTTCGCTGCGAGCAGGAGGCTGAGGGCCAAGGGTCGACGAAGGCCGCGCGGCAGGTGCAGCGTGAGCATGACCAGCCCAAGGGCCCCATCGCCGTGCAAAGGGTGAGGCCGAGAGGTCCCGTTTTTTTGTCCTCGTCGGGGAAGGTGGGCATGAGGTCGATGCCACGTAGAGCATGAGCAGCCTCGGCGCGCGACATTGGGAATGATGCTGCTGCAACACCAGGGCCCCTGTGACCATCGCCATGACCAACAGCAGCACGAACAAGGCAAACTGCTCGGTCGCCTCTGAGGTCATCAACACCATGGCGAGGCGAGGGACATGCATGCGCCTACTACTGTCAGAGCGCGAGCTCGGATAATCTCTTCTGCGGCCGCGGTTGCGACGACGGCGTTGATCATCCCTGCGTCTGTCGGGCACGGCGACCCCGTGCGCTCGCACCTCTGTCGCTGCGAGATGCATCACCTGTGTCATCACTTGGCATGAACCATAAGTGCGCGAGGATGAGGACATGTATGGAAATGTGGCGCTCAAGACAGCAACGACGGGAAAAAAAATGTCCGTGTACCCGCCGCCCCACACGCCGACTGTTTGGTGTGCGGAAAACACTCTGCCAACATTCAGGAAGCCTTGCCTGCCGCAGACTTGCGGTATCCACTTCTTCCACTGGAGCCAAAGTGGCTACGGGAGGATGATGAGGAGGATGAGGAGGATGATGAGGAGGAAGAGGAAGAACATAAGTGGGGAAGGAGGAGGAGGAGGAACAGGAGGAGGAGGAGAAGGCGGAGGAGGAATAATGGGAGGAAGGAGTATGATGATGATGGTGATGATGATGGTGGTGATCATGATGATGAAGATGAATATGATGATGGTGATGATGATGATGATGGTGATGATGAGGGAAAGGAGCAGCAGGAGGAGGAGGAGGAGGAGGAGGAGGACGAGGAGCAGGAGGGGGCGGCGGAGGAGGAGGAGAAGGAGGAGGAGGAGGAAGAAGAGGGGTAGGGAAGGGGAGAAGGAGGAGGAGGAGGAGAGGAGGAGGAGGAGGAGGAGGAGAAGGAGGAGGAGGAGAGGAGGAAGAGGAGGAGGAGGAGGGGGAGGAGGAGGAGGAGGGGGAGGAGGACAAGCTAGGTGCGCTCCCGTCATATCTGACGTCCTACCCCTCCCTCCCATCCTTTACCATGGCGCAGATCTCTTCCCTATTCTCACAATCGGATGCCGTAACATGGCGTAGATGGTATAGCATGGTGTTGAATATTACTACGTAGCATGATATAGCATGGCGTGGCGACGCCCCAGAATCATGGGGGGACTTCCGCGGCTCACAAATCGAATTTTCGACACCGAATGTGTAATCACTTCCGATGGTTCCTTCGGGAGGCCATCTCTTATATTTTGGGGCCTGTTTGGAAAGAGCGACAACCATGCCGTGGCATGGCACTGGAAATGATGACGCCAGCGCTGCAGCGGCAACACGATTCGGAAAGACCAGAAGCGCGGCCGTCCCGCCTGTGGATAGGAGGAACTGGGGGAAGAGGGGGGGGGGGGTCCGGTGGTCGGTGTGGGTCTGCTGGGGTAGGGGGAAAGGGAGGGGGGAGGTCTGGTGGCGTGGGTTCCGGTGGCGTGGGGGGGGGGTCCGGTCCCCCGTCCCGCCTGTGAACAAGGGAAACTCGGGGAAGAAACGGGGGTGGAGGGGGTTCCAGGGGGCGTGGGTTCCGATGGCGCAGGGGAAGGGCAGGGGGGGGGGGTCCGTGGCGTGTGAGTTTGAAGGAGCCTCAGCTACATCCTCGAGGGTGAGCTTCAGCCTTTGTGGGGGTTGCCGGGGTGGCTCTGCCGGGGAAGGAGGGGAGGGGTGTGTGTGTGCGCGTGTGCGTGGGGTAATGTTTGTCCGTGTACGCGAGAAAGGGATCGGGGAAAGAGGGATGCGAGGAATGCGAGCATGAAAGACAGCAGAAGTCTTCAACCGCGCCCTGCGCAGGAGGAACACGAGCCTCCGCGCAGAGCCGAGGCGCAGGAGGAACACGAGCCTCCGCGCCCCAAAACATCGAGCCCGGGCGGCGCAGGAGGAACACGAGCCTCCGCGCCGCCAGGGAAGCACGCCCGGCGCAGGAGGAACACGAGCCTCCGCACCGAGCCGAGGTGCAGGAGGAACACGAGCCTCCGCAACTCGCGGGGCGCAGGAGGAACACGAGCCTCCGCGCCCCGAACGCGCGAGCTCAGACCATCACCCCGCGGCCGTCGAAGACGAAACCGACCTGCCTGAGCTCCCGAGAACAGGACCCCGACCTGGCCGACGAGCGCCGCGACCTGACCAGCCGTCGCCGATCCTTGCGCGGTGCCTGGCCTCGGCGTCCTTCATGGCCTCCATGGCTATCTCCTGCGCCCGCAGCGGGAGGCCCAGCAAGAACTTCGGCACCTCCTCGCTGTTCCCGAGACCTGCGACGTTCATCACCAAGTCGTCGCACACCTTGTCGGCCGAGGGGTCCGAGTGCTCCGCCTTCTGCACGTCGGTGTCCTTCTCGACGTGCGCCAGCATCGGCACCTCCACCTTCTCCTCGGCCTTCTTCGGCACCAGGAGGTCCTTCTCGACGAGGTGCGTCGACGACACGTCCGCCTCCACCTTCGGACCGTGAGCGAACCTCTCGACGTGCTTGGTAATCGGCGGCCTCATGATCGCCGCGACCTCCTTCTCCTCGAAGACCTGCGTGTCCTCGATCTTCTCCTGGGAGTCGCTACCCAGCACCTCCTTGCACTTGTCCGCATTGTCCTGCTCGGTCGGGGGGAACGCCTCGCGCCATGCGCCAGGCCCAGCACCAAAGCGATGGTGGGAGGCCTGGTTGCGCAACTTCCTGCCGCTTCCAGGGATACTGGCGCGAACCCCGCGCCCGCCTGCCTGGACGTGCTTCTGGATGACGGGCTCGATTGCCTTCATCCTTTCCTTCGTCTCGACCTGCACGTCGGACGGCTCCGCGATACCCTGCAGCACTTCCGCCGCCACGCGGACACACGCCGCCGCCGCCGCAGCCACCGCTGCACGTTGGCCACCGCCTGCAGCGCCCCGCATGACGCCCTCGACGATGATCGCGAGTTCCGCACTCGAGACCCCCTATGGCTGGACGCGCGCCGCCAGGCGGGGGGAAGACCGCAGCAATTGAGCCAAAATGGCTACGGATCGGGGAAAGAGGGAGGGAGAAGTGGAACGAGACAAAAGCGGAAAACGGGGAGCACATGGGGGGAAGACGAAGGTGGCAGTGAAATGCGTGTCTGTTGTGTGTGTGTGTTGTGTGTGTGTGTGTGTGTGTGTGTGTGTGTGTGTGTTTGCGCGGCGTGCGTGGTGTGTGCATGTGTGTGTGTGTGTGTTGCCGGCGTGTGCGTGTGTATGTGCCTGCGAAGGTGGCGCGCGTGTGTGTGTGTGTGTGGTGTGTGTGTGTGTGTGTGTGTAGTGTGTGTGTGTGTGTGTGTGCGTGTGTGTGTGTGTGTGTCTAGTGTGTGTGTGCGTGTGTGCGCGTAATATCTGCGAGCGTGTGCGTGCGTGCCCGTCGGCGAAGTGTCGCCGCCCACTCTGGGGGGCACCCCAAGCGACCCGGATCGGCGGCACTGGCCGAAGGCCACTACAATAATGACGCCAACGCTGCAGCGGCAACACGATTCGGAAAGACCGGACGCGCGGAAATAAGGCCAGCGCTGCAGCGGGAACACGATTCGGAACGAGCGGTAACTCGAAAATGAGGCCAGCGCTTCAGCGAGAGCAGCATTTTGAAATGAAAAAGACCAAGCGCGGAAGCGCGGAAATGAGGACGCGTAGCCTGACATAGCATGGCGTGGCGACGACCCAAGAGTAGGGGGCCTCTGCGGCCCAGAAAATCAACGAATCGACACCGAATGTGTAATCACTTCCGGTGGTTTCTTCGGGAGGCCATCTCTTATATTTTGGGGCCTGTTCGGAAAGAGCGACAACCATGCCGTGGCATGGCGCTGGAAATGCTGACTCCAGCGCTGCAGCGGCAACACGATTCGAAACGAGCGGAAGTGCGGAAATGAGGCCAGCGTTGCAGCGGGAACACGATTCGGAACGAGCGGTAGCCCGAAAATGACCCCAGCGCTTCAGCGAGAGCAACATTTTCCAAACAACAACCAATCGAAAACCCGTTTCCCAGGAATCCTGTATAAAAAACCAATACGCGGAACGGTGCCGGCCATGTCCCGGACGCCACCAGGGGAGAGAGGAGAGTAGTATTCGTATTGCATAGTTGTGGAGGGGGAGGAGGAGGAGGAGGAGGAAGAGGAGGAGGAGGAGGAGGAGGAGGAGGAGGAGGAGGAGGAGGAGGAGGAGGAGGAGGGGAAGGAGGGGGAGGAGGAGGAGGAGGAGGAGGAGGAGGAGGAGGATGAGGAGGAGGAGGAGGAGGAGAAGGAGGAGGAGGAGGAGGAAGCGGAGAGAGCAAGGGGACGGAAACGGGCAAGTGGGAGCAGGGGGAGAAGCCTCCTGGCAGAGCTTCGCGGCCATTTGCCCCGCCGTGGCAGACGCCTTTGGGTTCGCGGAGGCGAGGCTGCGGGCGCAGAGCCGAAGACTGGCAGGCAGGGATACTGCACAGGACTGCTACGACAGCGGGCGCGCAACGAACTGCTCTGGACGCTGGGGGAAAGCGACAGAGTTGACTTGCGCTCCGCCAGGGGGCCCCAGGCTGGCGCGATGTTGGAGATCCCCGTCGTGAGGGAGGGGGAGATGCCCGCGAAAGTCCCGAACGCCCACTTCGCTATGGCACTCGCAGACTGGCTGCGCTGCGGCCTTTGCGCCCCAATTTTGCGCCGGCTACCACGACGGGCTACACGGCCACCGCGGAACTGAACAGCTGGTCCCGGGGCCCCCGGCCTGGAACCGAACCGACCCAAACCCGGGGGAGGTGGAGGCCGCCAAGCTGGATGTCGCGACGCGCGACGCGGTCACGGACAAGTATACCTGGACGCGAGCCACATAGCGGCAACAAGACGCGCCAGCGGGCCCGCTCGGGCCGGGACGGCCTCGCAAGCCAGACCCGAGAGGGCGCCAAGCGCCAGAGGTGCCCACCTGATGGCGGCGACCTGATTCCCCTGGTCTTTGAGACGCGCGGCCGCTCAGGGGACGCTGCAGTCGCTTACGTGCGTTCCCTGGCGCATGGCTTGGAAGGCGCCGGGCGTACCGAGGTGCTGCGGTACGCCTGGCAGCAGATGAGCTGCTTCCTCACGCGGAGGTGTTTCTCGCTGCCCGTGGGGCCTGAAGCGGCAATGGCGCCTGGCCCGCGTCGGCTACCTGTGTCTCGGGCCGCTAAGGCGGGCGCCGATGGGCGCAATTGCTGCCGCGGGTGGCTTTCCTGCAACTTCTCCCTGCGGCTCGCCGTGTACTTCCCCGACTTGAGGGTGTCCTGCAATGCGGCGCCGCCGATGTAGCGCCCAGCAGCGCCACTTTCCAGCCACTGAGCCGCCGGCAGCAGCAGCAGCAGGGCGGCCAGCGCAGCGAGGGTCATCAGCATCACTGCGACCAGCACGGAGACCAGCGACCCCCCCCGCCCGTCGACCCCCGCCCCCCGTCCTCTCCTGTCGTCTCCCTCCTTGTCTCCCCTCTCCTTGCGCTTCGCCGCCCCTGGGACTGGCCAGTGCAGGTGGCCAGTCCCCGGCTGCATGTGTCCAGCGCCAGTGGTTGGTCCCAGGCTGCATGTGTCCGGGGCAGTGGTTGCTTGCACTCCTTCCTCGTTCCTCGTTCCTCGTTCCTCGTTCCTCGTTCCTCGTTCCTCGTTCCTCCTCCTCCTCCTCCTCCTCCTCCTCCCCTCGGGATCCCTGTCAAATTGCTGTGAGAGCCTCGGTCAGGGGCTACGGCTCGCAGGTCCACTCCAGTCTTTAGCCTTTGCGCAGCTTCGGACTCTCCTCAGACGCCTTGTCCTGGTGGACGCCCGCTGCAAAGATCAGCGGGTGCCAGAACGTGGGTGGGAGGAGCAGAGAATGGAGGAGGACGACGAGGAGGAAGAGGAGGAGGAGGAGGAGAGAGGAGGCGGGAGAAGGACAAGGAGCAGGGAGACGGTGAGGGAGGAAGAGGAGGAGGAAGAGGAGGAGGAAGAGGAGGAGGAAGAGGAGGAGGAAGAGGAGGAGGCGGAGGCGGAGGCGGAGAAGGATGAGGAGGAGGAGGACGAGATGGAGGAGGACGTGGAGCAGGAGGAGGAGCAGGAGGAGGAGGAGGAGGAGGAGGAGGAGGAAGAGGAGGAGGAGGAGGAGGATGAGGAGGAGGAGGAGGAGGAGGAGGAGGAGGCCGCATGCCCAGGGGCATTCGGTGAACAGGTCACCACGCTCGGGCCGTGGTGCGCGTGGCAGGCCCGGCCCCGAAGGCCGCCCGCGCGCCCAGACCGCTTACAACCGCTGGCTGAGGCTTACACTGATGGTCTACTTCTCGTTTGCTTGTTACCTTTTCTCTCGCTCCTTTTCGCTCCTGTCCCACTCATCAGCTCTACTTCGTACTCTCGATCCTTTTCGCTCTTGTCCCTCTCGTTTGCTTGTTACCTTTACTTGCACTGTTGTTACCTTTACTCTCGCTCCTTTTCGCTTTCCTGCTCGCCCTTCACCGCGCCGATCTTCGACAGTGGCTGGCGAAACAGCAGACGTCGTAAATCCAGTCAACAAGCCAGGTGCTCGCGCACGCCGCAGACACGGCTTGTCGACAGACGGCCTCTTCAAGTCTGGGGGAATCCACGCCGATCACGCAGTCGTATCGACAGGGGCTCTCAATTGAACAAGACAACTAAGCAAGACGGATCATCATGTACCCTCGACGTCATCGACTCTGAACAATCATGCAACTGGACTTGTCCCGTACTTTTGTTTTCAAGTATCTTTCAGGACGATGGGAAACGATGGGATGAAACAGAACACCTCCAATGACAAGTTGCAATTGTCAGAGTACTTACCGAGTCTACTTTCTATGCGATTAGTACTGCCTCCCCCATCATGTAACGTGCAAACTGGTCGCGTCGCCGATCTACCATCTCCAAAAAGACCTATAGACCCTGTAAACAAAGAGTGCACATCGCATCCACATCACTCACCAGTCCAACTTTCTACCAAACGTTGTCGTTCAAATCGGCGATGGAGCACAAACGCTATATGTCCAAACCAGACTCGGTCGACACGCTGGACGTTGTTTACATTGGCACGCGATGCCGCGCCAATGATCGCGGCGCTGAGGCAGGCTCTCAACTGTGTGTGCCCATCCTGGAAGCGAACATACCGGATGAACAAGAAGGCGTATCAAAGGATCGCCTTGGCTCTCCTGGGGCCCTCTTTTGGGTCGTTTTGGGGGCCTCTTGAGTCGTCTTGGTAGCCTTTTTTGGGACATCTAGGGGCCCTCTAGGGCAATTTTGGAGGCTGCTTGGGCCGTCATGGGCCATCTTGGAGGCTGCTTGGGCCCTCATGGCCCCCGAGAGTCGAAAAAGATGAGAAATCGAACATCGAGCAACATTCATGGGAAAATCAATGCTTGTAGCCTCTGGAGCAGCTCTAGGGGGCGCCCTTGGAGCGTCGGGGCTCGACAACAAGATACTGCTCCGCACCCGGGAAGATGGCGGCCGAGAGCAGCACCGCCCGCGCCTCTGGACTGGCCTCTGCGTACGGCTGCGGCCCGCTGTGCTGCTCGTGCGGCCTGCGCCTCGGCCGCGCCGCTGAGCCGCTGAGCCGAGCATCTCCTCGCCAGGCCGACGCCGAGAATGAAGGGGCCCCAGGACACACAAAAAAATACACACAAATAAAATGATTCCCCATATTTTCAAATATTTTTTTGGATTTTGTCTTCCCCCCCGCTTCCCATATTTTCCTATATTTTTCTGGGAATCGATGAATAATTGTGTCTGTGTGTTTTTCCCCTCCTGAGAGAAGAAACCACGATTCCTGGCAGAGGTTCCGCCGCCGTGCTCTGGCGGGCGGGGCTCCTCCTCCTCCTCCTCCTCCTCCTCCTCCTCCTCCTCCTCCTCCTCTCCTCCTACTCCTCCTCCTCCTCCTCCTCCTCCTCCTCCTCCTCCTCCCACGGAGGCACGAAGCCCAGACGGTGCCAAACTAATGAACAGACATTATTCTGAGTGCTCCCTCGCGCTTTCATCCTCAGCCTCTGCGTGTACTTCCTCGCGGCCAACAGTACTTCGTCCTGGAGATGATGCTGTTGTTGCTCCTCCTCCTCCTTCTCCTTCCTCCTCCTCCTCCTCCTCCTCCTCCTCTCCTCCCCTCCTCTCCTCCTTCTCCTCCTCTCCTCCTCCTTCTCGTCCTCCTCCCTCCTCCTCCTCCTCCTCCTCCTCCTCCTCCTCCTCCTTCTCTCCTTCTCCTCCTCCTCCTCCTCCTCCTCCTCCTCCTCCTCCTCCTTCTGCTCCTCCTCCTCCTGCTCTGCCTCGTGGTGCTCGTCGCGCTCCACGTGGTCCTCTGTGCGGTCGGGGGCCCAGGTCTGGTCGGGAGCCCAGGCTTGGTCAGCTCCACGCCTGGCACCCCCCGCCGCTGTCGGAAGGCTCCCCTCGCGAAGGGGGCCCTGCGGCGGCGGAGCTCACCACCCACTTCCCTGGCCGCGCGGAGGCCCCGGCAGTGCCAGGACACGCAGCGAGGCCTCGTTCCCCGATCCCCCTCCCCCCCGCTGCGTGCCGCGGCCGCCGCGCGGCGCGCGCCGCGCCCCCCGCGCCCTCCATCGCGCTCGCCCGCGTCGGGCGCACGCGGGGAGGGGGGGGGGCCCACTGCCACCGCGACAGGCCCCCGATGGCCACTCCGCGCGCCCCTGGGCGGACCGGGCCGCTCGGCCCCGGTCGGCGATCCGTGGGCGATGGAAGCCAAGCCGCGGGCCCTGCTCGCTCCTCTGTGGTCGCTGCCGGCCTCCGCCCCCGGCGGGCTCGTGCCGCAGTGACTTCGGCGTTGGCCAATGGTTCCGCCCTGAGCGGTCGCGGAGTTCCGACAGCGCAGGGTGACAGCCGTTCAGCCGATCCCTGTCCCCACTGGCATGGCCTCGGCCCCACTGGCCGACTTACGCCCCGGGGTGGGGATGTGTGCTGCTCCCCTCGGGCTTCTCGGGGCCTGCCCCCGCCTCCGGGGGTGGACTGGCGAGGCTGAGCTACTGTCCGGGGAACAAGCGATGACCTCCCCCCCCCCCTCCGTCCGACCCGAACCTCGCCCTACCCCCACTCGGGCTCCCCGAGGCCGCGGGCGGGCACCGGTCGAGGCCACGGTACGCTGCCGTCCCGCGCCTCCGCGCTCCGTGCCAGGTTGGCCCTCTGGCCCGCCCTGGAGCCTCTGAGGCAGCCGCGGAGCTCGCGGCCACGGTCTGGGCAGGGCTTGCCGCGGCGAGGCGCATCGGCTTGCAGCCACGGGGGCGCCGAGGTCGGTGCGCCGGCGCCAGCTGCAGTCCGAAAGCCGGTTGCGCACTGCAGGCTGCCGCGCGCGCATCCCACGTGGGCACCGCGCCCAGATCGGGCCGTGGCGACGGCGGGGGCGGAGGTTCTCGAGAGCCCGCCTCGCCGGCCGGGCCGGGCGAGACGCGGACGGCAGGCAGGCAGCAGGATCGGGCGGGCCCGCCGAGATGCCGGCGTGACGAAGCGGTTGCCCTCCTCCTCCTCCTCCTCCTCCTCCTCCTCCTCCTCCTCCTCCTCTTCCTCCTCCTCCTCCTCCTCCTCCTCCTCCTCCTCCTCCTCCTCCACTTCTCTTTCCGTGCACATAAGGCCTCCCTGTCGCATCCCCAGGCGGGTCGAAAGGGCGGGCTGGGCGTTTCGCCTCAGACTTCCTCACCAGTCATGATCCTGAAGCTTAGAATTTGCAGCATATTCGTGGTTGTAAGGTGGGTCGTTTTCAAAATGTGGCTCTCGCCTTAGCGCCGCGCACATCCGTCGCCACAAAGATGCGACAATTTCACGGATGGAGGGCGGGCGATTTTCAAAATGTGGCTCTCGCTTTAGCGCCGCGCGCATCCCTTTTAAAGAAGGCCAGAGTTTCGCAAAAAGAGGGCGGGTCGTTTTCAAAAGGTGCCTTTCGCCATAGCGCCGCGCACATGCGTCTCAAACAAATGCAAGAGTTTCACGGATGGAGGTCGGGCCGTTTTCCAAACGTGGCCATCGCCATAGCGCCGCGCACATTCGGTTGTTTTGATAATGCTGCATCTTCACGGAACGGTGCTCTCGCCTGAGCGCCGCGCACATTCTTTGTAAGAGCTCGCAATCGTTTCAAGGATTCTCATGGCTAACGTCCCAGCATTGGTGTTTTGGCACGATGTCGGATCGTCAAGGCGCAAAAGTTACGTTGGTTCGTGGTGTCGGAATTCCCAGGAAGGGCTTTCTGGCACGATTCAAGGTCGTCAACACGCAACAATACCGGTGACTCGCTGCGTTGAAATCCAAGGAGTGGTGTTCTGGCAAAGTTCAGGATCTTCAAACAATTGTATTCCAACGGGGCACTTCCTTCAGTGAAATGAACCCTTCAAGAGGCCAGTGAAGAGGGAACTGGGAGGGAGGGTTGACTGCAATATTGTTAAGGACTCTGGGGTTTGCACTGGTTCTCCTTCTCCTCATCTTCCTCCTCCTCCTCCTCCTCCTCCTCTTGCTCCTCCTCCTTCTCCCCCTCCTGTCTCCTCCGCCTCCTCCTCCTCCTCCTTCTCCTCCTCCTCCTCCTCCTCCTCCTCATCCTCATCCTCATCCTCTTCATGGCCTCCCAGCACCAGGCACTGCCAATGGGGGTCCTCACTAAGGGGTTGGCAACCCGCCTCCAGGCAACGGGCCCCCCAGAGCCCCCTCGGGACCTCCCGGAAGACGACTCCGACGCGTCCCAGACCCGGGCTCGAGCTAGACAGTGTTCTTCGTTCTCGCTCCGTTCTTGTCTTCCTTCGCTCTGTCTTCGTTCTGCCTTGGCTGCGACACGACACCAAAGCAACAACGGCCCACGAGATCGCTAAAGCATCGTTCAGCTCGAGCCCTGTCCTGGACAGGATCGATCCTCGGCCCTCTCTCCTGCTCGATCTCTGCCTTCCGGGCGGAGCTGGTGACTGCCCCGGTGGTGACCCTCCTTGGCGCTGCCCTCCTCCTCCTCCTCCTCCTCCTCCTCCTTCGAGGCGCGCGCCTGATGCGATGCGGACCGCTCTGCGCAAGGGCTGGGGCCCTCGTCGGGGGTTGCTGAATGTGCCCCTGGCCCAAGGTGCCCCCGGCTTCTCGCTCCACTTTGGAGCCTCTGGGGGCCTCGGGGTCTCGTGAGGGGTGCTCCGGCGGCCGTGGTGGCCTCTCTGGAAGTCCTGGGGGCACCTCGGGCCAGGGGCACTTCGAGCAGCACCCGACCTCGGGGATCCCCCCCCTCCCTGGCCCTCGCCATGGTGAGGGGGATGCGGAGCACACCTCCGAGGCTGAGACAGACCCAAGGTGGAGGAGAAGGGAAGGGACCGACAGCACGGGCGAGTACGACGGAGGACACTCCGGCGAAGCCACAACGGGGGGGGCGGTCCTTTCCTGAGACGAAGCCCGGACGAGGTTACATTTTGGCTAGAAGATACATCAAGTCTCTGACATCTGGCGGCTCTGGGGGATGTCTCGGGCGGCCGCGGCCTTCTCAGAGCGCTCCGGAACGCTCTGAGAGCGGTCCAGAACCCTCTGGAACGGATTTGTCCTCGCCCTAGCCCCGCCCGATTACCCCGCCGACGGTCCCAGGGACCGGGACCGGTCCCAGGGACCGGCGAGGGCCCGCCAGAGGCCGAAAACTGCGGAAAATGCTCCGCCCTGATTTTTCCACGACGCGATCATGTCCATTCGATCCGGCTCAGGTTTGCCTCGCCTCTGTGGGCGTCGTGTAGTGGGGAACCAATCGTGCTGACGATCCCTCGAGAGGGGTGCCGAAGCCACCGGGCCCCCAAGGGGGGTGTGAGGACCACAACTCCCCCCAGCTGTGGCCGGTCTGACGCTGCGGCGAACACTATCCTCCTCCTCCTCCTCCTCGTCCTCCTCCTCCTCCTGCTGGCCCTCCTCCTCCTCCTCCTCCTCCTCGTCCTCGTCCTCCTCGTCCTCCTCCTCCTCTTCCTCCTCCTCCTCCTCCTCGTCCTCGTCCTCCTCCTCCTCCTCGTCCTGCTGGCCCTCCTCCTCCTCCTCGTCCTCCTCCTCCTCCTCCTCCTCCTCGTCCTCCTCCTCCTCCTCGTCCTCGTCCTCCTCCTCCTCCTTCTCGTCCTCCTCCTCCTGGCCCTCAGGCACAGCCACTCCCAGCGAGCACGGCGGAGCACGGCCCGATGGGGGCGGCCTGCCAGAGCCGGGCCGCAGGCGAAAGCATCCGAGGCCCGCGCGCGGCGGCGGCAGCCAACGGCGGCGGTCGCGGCCTGAACGCCTCCGCGTCAGGGCACGTCGCAGCCGCTGCCGCCGCCGCCGCCGCCATCGTCGTCGTCGTCGTCGTCGCCGTCGCCGCCGTCGTCGTCGTCGTCGTCGTCGTCGTCGTCGTCGTCGTCGTCGCTTCCACTGCCGCCGTCGGTCGTGGTCGTCACCGTCCTCCCTCAAGTCGTTGATCTTCATGATGGTGCAACCGCAATTTGAGCAGGCAGCTTTTTACACAACCGTCCTGTGGTGTTGGGTCCTCGTTTTCAAGAGACAGCGCCCCGCGTTCCTTCCTTCCTTCTCTCCCTCTTTCCTCCTCCTATCCCTCTCTCCGCCTTCCGCACTCCGCACGTCCTTATCGTCATCATCACCATCATCATCATCACCATCATCCTCATCATTCATTACCATCGTCATCATAAGCCGCGTCATCATCATCATCACCATCATCATCATCAGCATCGTCGTCATTATCATCACCACCACAACCACCACTATCACCATCATCATCCTCATCATCATCACCACTACCATCGTCATCACCACCATCACCATCATCATCACCATCACCATTATCATCACCACTACCACCACCACCATCATCATCATCATCATCATCATCATCATCATTATCATTATCATCATCATCATCATCATCATCATCATCATCATCATCATCATCATCCAAGCCATCACCATCAAAATCACCATCACCATCATCATCATCATCATCATCATTGGTATCGTCATCGTCATCGTCATCGTCATAATCATCATCATCACCACCACCATCATCTTTATCATCATCATCATCATCACCATCATGGTCATCACCATCATCGTTTTCCTCATCCTCATCCTCATCATAATCATCATCACCACCATCACCATCATCATCAGCATCATCAGCATCATCATCATCATCACCATCATCATCAGCATTATCATCATCATCGTCGTCATCGTCATCGTCATCACCATCATCAGCAGCATCAACACCATCACCATCAGCATCATCATTACCATAATTCTTACCACCATCACCATTACCATCACTGTCACCGTCACCCGCATCGTCATCATCATCATCATCATCATCATCATCATCATCATCATCATCATCCTCATTATCCTCATCTTCCTTATCTTCCTCATCTTCCTCCTCATCCTCCTTCTCATCATCCTCATCCTCATCATCATCATAATCGTCATCAGACGGCCCACGTGGCTGCGTTCGCATGGCACCAGTCAATCATGTCGGCACATCCCTCACGCATGTCGTGGCCTCATACGGAGCTCCACGGAATGACCAAAAGCCAGCGCCCGCATGCGCCCACCGCACCCATTTCGGCACACCCTTCGCAAGTTTCGTGGCCCCTGTATGGGGCCCCACCAGAGGTCCACAAGACAACGCCCGCATGCGTCCGCCGCACCCATGTCGGCACACCTCTCACACGTTTCGCGGCCCCCATAAGGAACCCCATCGAAGGCCCACCAGGCAGCGCCCGCATGCGCCCGCCGTGCCCATTTCGGCACCCCTACCACACGTTCCGTGGCCTCACAAGGAGCTCCACCGAAGGCCCCAGTGGCTACGCTCGCATGCGCCCGCCGCGCCCATTTCGGTACACCCCTCGCACGTTTAGTGGCCCCATAGGGAGCTCAACCGAAGGTGCAAGAAGGTAGCACCAGCATGCGCCCGCCGCGCCCATTTCGGCACACCCCTCACACGTTTTGCGGCCCCCATGAGAAGCCCCACCGAAGGCCCAACACGCAGTGCCCGCATGTGCCCACCGTGCCAATTTCGGTACACCCCTCACACGTTTCGTGGCCCACAAGGAGCTCAACCGAAGGCCCCAGTGGCTACGCTCGCATGTGCCCGCCGCACAAATTTTGGCACACCCCTCGCACGTTTAGTGCCCCCCATAGGGAGCCCCACCGACGCCCCAAAAAGGTAGCGCCTGCATGCGCCCGCCGCACCCATTTCGGCGCACCCCTAACACGTTTCGTGCCCCCCAAGGGGAGCTCCACCGAAGGCACACAAGGCAGCGTCTGCATGCGCCCGCCACATCAATCTCGGCACCTCCTCACACGCTAAGTGGCCCCATAAAAGGGGCTCCACCGAAGGCCCAGTGGCTACGCTCGCATGCGCCCGCCGCACCCATCTCGGCACACCCTTCACACCTTTCGTGGCCCCCAAAGGGAGCTCCACCAAATGCTCTAGAGGGCCACGTTGGCACACGCCGCACACGTTTCGCGCCCCATCAGGAGCTCCACCGAAGACGAGACTTACGACTGCGGTACTCACAGCTGCGCATGGTTGGGTCCCTCGCCAGCCTAAAGTTGCAGGCGGCTCCTGTTGTCGAGACACCTTGCCATAGACATATGGCTTCTTTGAAATTTGTGTGACACCGCTGTTCGAGCAACTACAATCTAGGTAATACGGTTTCGTCTCGTGCGGCATCCTGATCCATGCGGGAGACGGAAGTTAATTCAAATCCGTAATGGCATCGCCACTGATTCCTACTGCGACTCCTGCATCCGTTCCTGCTTCCGCCATTCCTCTTCGCCATACCCCTCATCCTCCTTCTCCTACTCCTCCTCATCCTTTCCACCACCACCGCCACCACCACCAACATCGGCATCAGCACAATCGTTAACATAATCATCAGCATCATCATCATCATCATCATCATCATCATCATCATCACCATCATGGTTATCACCATCATCGTCATCGTCATCCTCATCCTCATCATAATCATCATCATCATCACCATCATCATCATCATCATCAGCATCATCCTCATCACCATCACCATCAGCATCATCATCATCACCATCATCATCAGCATTATCATCATCATCATCATCATCGTCGTCATCGTCATCGTCATCACCATCATCAGCAGCATCAACACCATCAGCAACAGCATCATCATTACCATCATTCTTATCACCATCACCATTACCATCACTGTCACCGTCACCCGCATCATCATCATCCTCATCCTCGTCATCCTCATCTTCCTCATCTTCCTCCTCATCCTCCTCCTCATCATCCTCATCCTCATCCTCATCACCCGCATTATCACCACCATCACCACCACACTCATCATCATTATCATCATCACCATCATCATGATCAGCTTCTCTGTTTCTTCATCATCCTCACCACCATCACATCATCATCACCACCACCACCACAATAACCATCGCCATCATCACCACCATCATCATGATCAACACTATCAAGGCCATCAAGATCATCATCTTTATCACCATTATCACCATTATCATCATAATCGTCGTCATTATCATCATCGTCGCTATCGTTACTGTCATCGCCATCGTCATGACCAGCATCATCAGCATCATCAACATCGCCAACATCATCAACATCATAATCATCCATCCTCCCCCTTCTCTTCCCCTCCTCCGTCCTCATTCCCCTCCTCTTTCTCCTCCATCCTCATCCCTCTTCTCCCTCCTCCTCCTCCTCCTCCTCCTTCTTCCCCCACCCTCCTCGTCCTCCTCGTCATCCTCCTCCTCCGCTTTCTCCTCCTCCCTCCTTCTCTTCTTCCTCCTCCTCCTCCTCCTCCTCCTCCTCGTCCTCCTACTCTTTTCCTCATGACCAACTCTCCCCTGTCGCATCACCAGATGTGTCCGTGGGCCAGGCCGGGCGTTTCTCTTGAGACCCCCAGCAATTTCTTATCCTGAGACATCAAACACTTGCACGGAAAGCCGTTGTCAACATGTGGCCCGCCTTAGCGCTGCGCTCGTGCGCATCACAAGATTCCAGCAACTACGCGGATTAAGGACGGGCCGTTTCCAGCATGTCTTCCTGCGCCCCCCGCGCGCATTCGCCTTCCCAGTTGTCGTCGGCGAAGCGGATGGAGGGCTGGTGGTTTTCGAAACGTGGCTCTCTCCGTGGCGTTGTGCACTCGCCAGCTTCCGGCAGCTACGCGGATGGGACCCTCGCCGGGGACGTCCTCAGAAACATCTGCCCGATGCATCTGCCAGGATCGCCGGATGGATGGCAGGATGGACGTGGGCGCCCTGCTTGGCGGTCTTTGCGGCGCGGGCGACGGCTCGGGTGTAGGCGTACACGTAGGCGATGCTCTTCGCCTCCTGCGTGCTGATGCCGGCGGTGCCGAAGGCGAAACGGCCTCCTCGGCCTCACGATGAAGGCCTGTGTCGACGCTGGCGTGAGCGTGGGCGCTGCTGCTGGTAGCACCGCCTCGGACTAAGCGGTGCTGCTGCAGACCGCCGCCGCCGCCGATCTGGGGCGCAGGCAGTCGTCGCCCCTGGCTCCCCTCCACCTCGGGTTGGAGGGGGGGCGGCCTCATGGGGAGGGGCAAGGGCGCCGGACCTCCTCTGGCGTACCTCGTCCTGGTTGGAGTGGTTGCCGTGGGAGGCGGCGCAGGCGTTGTCGTAAGCGTCGGCGTTGGCGTCGCTGTCGACCTCCGCGTCGCCTTCGCCCCCATCCCGAGCGACCACAGGATCTGGCCGCATCCGTTGGTTCGAGCGGCCTCGCGGCCCTCGCACTTGCCCTCCTCCTCCTGCTGCTCCTGTACGTCTATGGTGGCGGTGGCACTGGTGGAGGCGCAAGCGTCGGTGCGGGCGGCGTCGGCGTGGCGAGGTGCCGGCGCCTGACCGTCTTCGGCGGCCTCCCCTCCCCCATGTTGCGACCTCCCGGCTGGGGGCAAGGGGGCGGGGGGGGCTCGGCCGACTTCCAGGGCCAGTCTCCCCGTCGTCCGCGTCGGTGATCCCGCAGGCTCTGGCGCCAGCGCAGTCGGTGGCGGAGTCGGTCCCCGCGGTCTTCTCGAGGTCGGCGGCGTCGGTGACGGTGGTAGCGTCGGAGCTGATGTGGGAGTTGCTGGCAGGGACTCCGGCGGGGGTAACGTGGCCGGTGCCCTCCGGCTCGATGGCCGGGTGCTCCCCGATCTCCTCGCCAAGCGGGCCCGTGCAGGCGGTGCGCTGTGGCCAGGGACGCCGCCTCTCGGGCGGCAGGGGGCAGGCAAGTGGACGTCGGACCTCGCGCTGCCCCTGACCCCCCTCCTCCTCCGATTGAAGGGGGGAGCAGCCTCACGGGGAGGTTGCAGCGGCGCCAGGCCTCCTGTGGCGTGCCTCATCCTGGACGGGCTGGTCGCCGAGGGAGCTGGCGAAGGTGCTGGTGCCAAAGGCGGCCTCGTCGGAGCTCTGCGAGTGGACGATGGTGGGCCTCTGCCGAAGCTCGTGCCCCCCTGCGCGAAACCCTGGTCGATGGAGGGCGGCAAGGTCAGGGGTGAGGTTCGGGACGAATACGGGGGTCTCCAGACTCAGGGGGGGACCCGTGTTGCTGCCGCTGTAAGCGCTGTCATGGGTGACAGTGCTGGCGGCGGTATTGGCGTCGTGGCCGATGTTGTGTTCGACGGGCGGTTGCTGTTTGCCAAATGCGGCTGCTGCCATGGCCAGCCGGCCAACATCACGGGCGCGGGCGGTGGATCCCGTCGCAGCAGCGCACTCCACTCGGGCCACGGCGGCCCAAAGGCGCTTCGGCAGCGGCCCTGGGCCGGTCCTGCCGGAGGCGGCGGTGTGGTAGCGGTCGGCGCCGTCGTGCAGGTCGCAGCGCGGGCACCGCGGCCAGGTCTCGCGCGCCTCGGAGCAGACATGGCGCGGTCGGGCGCCCCGCCTGGGTGCCGCCCGCCGCCCGCCCGCGGCTGCCGCGGGGGCCCGCGGCCGTCGGGCGAGTCTTCCCTTTCTCCTCCTCCTCCTCCTCCTCCTTCTCCCTCCTCCTCCGTCCTCCTCCTCCTCCTCCTCCTCCTCCTCCTTCTCCTGCTCCCTCCTCCCTCCTCCCTCCTTCCTCCTCCCTCCTCCCTCCTCCGTCCCTCCTTCCTTCTCTCCTCCTCCTCCTCCTCCTCCTGCTCCTCCTCCTCCTCCTTCTCCTCCTCCTCCTCCTCCTCCTCCTCCTCCTCCTCCTCCTCCTCCTCCTCCTCCTCCTCCTCCTCCTCCTCCTCCTCCCCGTCCCCCTCCCCCTCCCCCTTCTCCTCTTCGATTACACGGTTGCGCGCTGAAGTCCCAAGTCCACTCCAGGAGCAGAAGAGGGCAGAAAAAACAGAGTGCCCCCAAGGGTTAAGGCGGCGCCAAATGAGACGAAGGAAGGCAGAGAGGAGGGAGGATAAGAGGGCAGAAGGATAACAGGCGCCACCGAAACCCTGAGACCGAGCCCAATCCCCAAGCCTCCTGGCGGACAACTCCTGCCTCGGGAGGTGCGGGGTGGTGGGGAATGAAGAAAAAGGTCAATGCCACCACGCGGGTTTTCCCACCCTTCCCGCTCGGCCTGACTGAACAGGGGCTCGAATTATGTGGGTTCGGGGGATGCCGTCACGCACAAGGGCCTACACGGAGGATGGGCGACAGCGAATGCCGTCTCGGCACGTCGTCGCAGCCGCCGTCGTCGTCGTCGTCGTCGTCGTCGTCGTTGTCGCCCCTTCCCCACCTTCTCTCTCCACCCCGTTCCTCCACCCCAACACATCTCCCGAGGCCTTGGCCAACGCCACAACACGGGAGGTGGAGGAACGACGAGGGGGGAGACCCGAAAGACTTGAGAGGGCTCTATGCAACGCAGTGACAGCACATATGCTATGCAGCACCATGCGGCGCAACACCCTGGAAGCAAATGCTGGTGGGGACCTGCCAACACTCATGTTCCGGCAGAGCGTTTCTGGAACATGCCCAAACGCTGTCGGTGCCCATGTTCCGGCAGAGCGCTTCTGGAGCATGCCCGAAACGTGGCCACGCTGCAGTGCCCCGCGGATCGGGGTCCGTGCTCGGAGACAGAAGCGCCATGTTAGTGCATTGCAGATGCACAACATCTACCCCTCAACCCCATGTCCCAAAGCCTGCTATCCCCGGCACTCCCCTCGAGAACTCTGCAAGCTGTGATGGAGACCAGCCTGCTTATGCATTCAGCTTCAGGGGAAGGGGAAAGGAGGTCCAGATACCCTCTACAGCTGGAACTGGCCAGAGGGGTCAAAAATCTGAACGCATGCGCGCCACACAGATCACGCAAACCCTAATACTCGAAAGCCCTACTGCTTCGCTGTATAGGGAGTGCTCGGGCTTTGGCAGGGCACGCTCTGAACACCGTCTAACGGTGCATTGAAAGGTCGTGTAAGGGAGGTAATCTTCACCTCGCCCTGGCGGCACGAAACCTTTCTGCAAGGAAACCCTCAGCGCCTGAGCGGATGCTCGAAACCACCCTGCGCACGCTGCCGAGAATACTCCGAACACGATATTTGCACGCCTTGTTGAAAGTGCAAGAACTTTGCGACGGCCGTGACGACAACATGCTTCACTCCCTCCCCCTGTCTCCCCCACCCGTCCGTCCAGCCTCCTACTGTTCGAGGCTGCAATCGAAGCACGGGATGGGCCTACCCTCATGCAACCTTCTGCTCGCCTGCATCTTCGAATCACACGGCCCGCAGAACCTGACGCAGAGGGGCGACCTGAACTTCGCAGCGTGCGCTCCGGGGAGCCGGGGCACGATCCGTTCGTCCTCGTGCCTCGGCAGCACGGCGCCGTCCTCGCACTCGTCTCGCAGCTTCACCTCCCGGCTGGCACCTCCAGCCTGCGGGGCTGAGGCCTCCGCAGGAGGAGGAGGAGGAGGAGGAGGAGGAGGAGGAGGAGGAGGAGGAGGAGGAGGAGGAGGAGGCGCCGAGGCCGAGGTGCGCACCTCGCACTCGCTGCTCTCAGGGGCTCCTCGGGCCCACCCTGCGCGGCGTCGGCAGCCGCCCGCGCGGCGAGGACGCCCGCCCGGCGGGGCGAGGAGCACGCCCCGCAGCGCTCGTGGAGCCGCCCGAGAAGGGGCTCCACTCCTCCTCCTCCTCCTGCTCCTTCCTCCTCCTCCTCCTCCTCCTCCTCCTGCTCCTCCTCCTCCTCCTCCTGCTCCTCCTCCTCCTCCTCCTGATCCTCCTCCTCCTCCTGATCCTCCTCCTCCCTCCTCCTCCTCCTCCTCTCCTCCTCTTCCTCCTCCTCCTCCTGATCCTCCTCCTCCTCCTGATCCTCCTCCTCCTGATCCTCCTCCTCCTCCTCCTCCTCCTCCTCCTCCTCCGCCTCCTCCGGCTGCCGTCGCCCTCGAGCTCCGCCCCGTCGTGGGCAGTGTCGGAGGGCTGCGCGCCGTGCTGGTGGGCAACCCGCCACCTGCTGCCGGCAGCCCTTCTCCAGAGCCTGCCGCTGCTGCTCGGCGACCACTCCTCCGACCCCGATTTTCCGCGCCGAGGCCGTCGAGGACGCGAGCAGCCCCTGCACGTCGCGCTGCAGAGAGGCGACGCCTGGGTGAGCCGAGACGCTGCAAAGGGTTGACGCTCACGGACCGGGGGCGCGCAAACATGGATCAGCGATCGAAGGAATGCAAAAAACGAAGGATTGCAAAAAAACGAAGGATTGCAAAAAACCGAAGGATTGAAAAAAAACCCGGTTTTTTTTGCAATCCTTCGGATTTGGCGCGCGGTCACCAGATCCATGGATCGGGGGAGGCGCCCTCCCCAACATGCGGCCGCTGGCGCCTCGCTCGGCGGCTGAAGTTTCCGCGATTTCCCGCGGAGACGGGGCCCGTCGCTGATCCACGCCCCCATTAGTCCGTGTTTGCGATCGCCTGAACGAAAGCCGACTTGCCACTTTGGCTCATGCATAGCCGCACTCCCTGCGTGTGCTCTTCGCCCCCTTGACCGTCACCTTGGACCCACGGCCGGCGGAGGGGCCAATTTGTCACCAGCGAAAGCTCTCGAAGTCGCCGGCTGTTCTGCACACTTCCTCGTCTGACATTGAGCCTTCTCCCCAAGCGTAGCTCTTTAGGTCGGGCGTGTCCCCCTACAGGCGGATTTTGGGCGAAAAATTAGACATACCCCCCAAATTCCCTCCAAATGCGCTAAAATGGTCAACAAATCGTCCCCAGACTATTTTTTGTAATACTATTTTTGCATATTCCCCCTGTAGAGGGACAGGCCCGACTTAAGCGTAGCTACTTCAATTGCCCGGCGTACGGCCAACCTGCGCTCTCCAGCACAAAGCCCGGACCCTGCGATAGCCTGGTGTGATACGTACGATGCTGGACCTCAGACTGGTGAGGGGAACCGCTGCCTGCTGCTCAAACCTGCCGAATGGCTTGAGCCAAACTAGACCCCCTTCTCCTCCTCCTCCTTTTCCTCCTCCTCCTCCTCCTCCTCCTCCCTCCTCCCCCTTCCCGCCGGCCTCCTCGGGCGCCCTTCTCCCTCCTCCCTCCTCCCCCTCTCTCCCTGCGGGCCTCCACTGGCGTGCTCGGAATGCCCGCCAGCGCGAAGAGGTCCTCCGGTGTCCTGGGCATGCCCGCCTGCGGCGCGCCTGGCGCGACGAGGTCCTCCGGCGTCCTGGGGATGCCCCCTTGCGGCGCGGTCGACTCGACGAGGTCCTCCGGCGTCCTAGGGATGCCCTCCTGCGGCGCGGCCGTCTCGACGAGGTCCTCCGGCGTCCTGGGCATGCCCCCCTGCGGCGCGGCCGTCTCGACGAGCGCCTCCGGCGTCCCGGGCATGCGCTCCTGCGGCGCGGCGCCGGCGCAAAAAGCCCCTCGGCGGAGGGCCGCCTCCGCCGAGGGGCCGCCGAGGGCGCGCCGAGAGTTGAGCAGGGGCCGACCGTCCGGGCATCTCTGTAGGCCTACCGCGAAGTGTGCTCAGAACCCAGAAGAGAACAGAAACAGCATTCTCAGAACGTTTCCCCAGTGCGACGCTGCCCAGACGTTGGAGCCCCCAGGAAAGCAGCAGATTAGTTGCTATGCTATGCTATGCTATGATGTGCCATGCTATGCTGCGCTATGCTGCGCTATGCTATGCTATGCTATGCTGCGCAGTGCTATGCTATGATATGCTATGCTATGCTAAACTATGCCATGTCATGCTGCGCTGTGACATGATATGCTATGCTATGCTAGTCTATGCTATGCTAAGCTGCGCTATGCTATGCTATGATATGCTATGCTATGTTGCGCTATGCTATGCAATGTTTGGCTATGTTATGCTACGCTATGCTATGCAAATGCAGCGCTGCGCTATGCTAAGCTAAGCTAAGTTAACCCTATAGGCAGAGTCTAGGTAGGGACTTGCGTTGCTTGTGCATTGCTTTGCTGTCGCTGCTGTTGCTTTGCCTTTGCTTTGCTGCTGTGCTATACTATGCTTTGCTATGCTATGCTATGCTGCGCGGTGCTATGCTGTGCTGTGCTGTGCTGCGCTATGCTATGCTATGCTATGCTGCGCTATGCTGTGCTATGCTGGGCTTTGCAATGATATGCTGTGCTGCGCTGTGCTGTGCTACGCTCTGCCATGCTATGCTGTGCTCTGCTATGCTAAAGCTCGGCGAAGCTAAGATGAAGGTAAGCTAAGCTAATGTAAACCTGAGCTAAGATGAAGCTAAGCTAAGCTAAGATGAAATAGGCTAAGCTAATATGAGATAAGCAACGCTGAGCTAAGGGAATGTCACTGGGGGAACCGCGGGGCGGATCCTGGGGGAACCGCCCGGGGCGGGGAGCACTGCCCGGCCCTTTAAGAGAACAGGGTCATAACCCTTCTAGGCAGAGCCTAGGTAGGGAATAAACCCGATGTGTTAAAGTAAGACAGACTCAGCCAGAACTGCTCTAATAACATTTCGGGCCAACCACAAAAAGTTCGAGGACAAACATGGCCTATGATGCAAAAACAACAATTTGAAATCAAAATGCGTTGGCGAGAATTTTGCGAACGACTTCTTGGTCACATTTCTGCCCGCCTGGGTGCGCATGCTTCCGCGAATGCGACACGTGCGGTGCTGTTATTGCCAGACGATGAAGCGCGAGGGCGAAAAGTTGGAACACAACACAGTGGCATCCACACGTAGTGGCTCGAATGTTACCGTCGGTTTCTTGGCCACGTGTCCGCCCTCCGGGGCACGCATGCTCGCAATTGCGAAAACGTGCGGTCTTCGTGATTGTCAGACGATGAGGTGCGAGGACTACTATGGTTTATGATTCAAAAGCCGCAATGTGAAACCCGCATGTATTGGCTAGAATGTCATCAACGATTTCGTTTCCACATGTCCGTCCTCCTGGGTATGCATGCGACCGCGAATTCGAAACCATAAGGTTTTGTTATTGCCAAACGATGAGGCGCGAGGGCGAAGGTTGTCTGTGCGGCCAAGCACACGCATTGAAATCCACATGTATCGGCCAGAACTTTACCAATGATAAACTGGCCACATTTCTGCCCTCCTGGGTACGCATGCTTCCGCACTTCTGGAAACATAATGATTCTTGTTTTAGCCAGACGATGAGGCGCGATGACGAAGATGGTTCCTCATGCAAAAACAACCTTTTTGAAATCCACATGTATCAACAAAAAACTGACCAATTAATTCTTGGACGCATTTCCGCTTTCCTGGGCGCGCATGCTTCCGCACTTGCGAAAGCATGCGGTTGCGTCGTTGCCAGAGGATGAGGCGCGAGAGCAGAATATGTCTATGATGCAAACACATATGACATCCGCATGCCTGGGCGAACATTTTACCAACGACTTCTTGGCCACATTTCCGTTCTCCTGGGAACGCGCGTGTTCCTCTGCGTCTTTTTCGGCGAAGGCTTACTGTTCTCTATTTCCAGAAGAACCGAGTTTGTCAGGCAGAGGTTCTGAGGGTCCAGAGAACAATGTAGATTTAGGGCATGGGTGTCAAACGAAGTTAAGCCGCCCATGCCTGCCACCAGCCTGTAGCTGGATGATTTCTTGGATATCACAATGATAACAATAGGGCGCCAATCGGGGCACACAATGAGTCAAAGAGGACACGTTGTTGTTGAGTTACAATTGGGTCCTGGTGGGATCCCAGTAGTATGCCCGTATGGATCGAATAGAAGGGGTTCCGATTGGATTCCAATGCGATATCCTTCGTATTCGCCAAACGAGTTTTGATGGGTTTCCAAGAATGATGGTTCCTACTCTTTTTGAATTTGAACGCACAAGAATACCCACTGGGTCTCCACATAGTACCCCCAGTGCGTTTCCCGCAGCATTTCAACAGGAAGGTCCCTCCATTGTAATCCAATGGGGTTTCATATCGATTTCCATTAGGAAGGGCCCCAACGGGTTTCAATTGGAAGCAGCCCATAACGGGTTCCAAAAGGACACCCGTAGGCCCCATATCGAGGAATCTTGTTGGATATCAATGGTTTCATCTGGTGCCAAAAGGATCCCAGTGGGAAGGGTGCCATTCGGATTCCAATCGGATTTTTGTTTGATACTATTCGGAACCCGCCACTTCACATTTTCTCGGTTCAGACGGTTCACTTTACAACCACCACGCTTCAGAGAGCCAAATGTCTCCGTTACGTGGGCCCACGGAGATTGCGGAAATTGACGAGCATGTGTCGCTTATGTGCGTTTGCTCGCCTGGTTGCGAAGCGGCCTTCTCGGTTGCAAAGTGCCCTTCTGGGAAAACCCCTGCTGGTTGTAAAGTTCTCCATCTGGTTGTAAAGTGGCCGCTCTGGTTGCAATGTGACCCACGCGCGGGTTCGAAGCCCTCCCCCCTCCATCCAGGGGGGGGGTCCGGTTCCCCCCCCCCCCTCCAAGCGACCACAGAACGCGCTCTTTCTGACCTTAAGAAAGCGCCGGCGACGACGACGACGCCGGCGAGGTCCAATGATCAGAACGCGCGACGGCCAAAACGTCGGAACCTAGAGGAGCAGCTCAGGTAAAGTTCTGGAAGGAGCCGCCTGAGGGAAGTTCTGGAAGGAGTCGCCTGATTAAAATTCTAAACGGAGCGCGTGAGTAAAATTCTAGAAAGCGCGTTCCCCCCCTGTCGCTCATGCTCCGCGCCCCTGCGTAAGTCGCCCTCGGAGTCTTTCGCCACACTTACTTGAGACTCGACAAGGGTACAGTGTGGTCCGACAGGAGCCGTGACATACACGGTGTTTCGCCGCCGCTCGGATCCGTCCCAAACCCGTCGAATTCGCGTATGATCCGTCCAACAGACATCGGATCCGCATGAGATCCGTGCCCAGATCCGACGCCCGAGGCAAGGGTGACACTCCCGAGCGGGGGCCCTCGTCAACATCTGTGGGGGCCCCTGCGTCCGTTCTCGGTCGCCCGGCGGTGCGCCCATCAGCCGCGACCTGCCGCCAGACCCCCGTGTCCCAGGCTGGCCGGGCCGACGGCCCCTGGCCTGGCTGGGCCGGCAGCCTGGTGCCCTCGGTGCGATTTGCGAATTCGGGCCACGTTCTCAACTCGTACCAGCTCGCCTGCCTGTCTGTAGAAGTGTCCGCCCTGCTTGGGGAAAAGGACGTCTTGCCGCAAGAGGTCTCGGGGCACATTCTTCGTCGACCTTGGAGGGTCCTGAGGCCCAAAGTGCCCCGGAATTTGCGTGGCCCTCCCAGGGCCATCGGGGGATAAGACACTTCCGTGGCTCAGCTGCCCTGATGCGAAGCATGCAACCCGGAGCGTGTTGGCACACGGCTCAACACGTACATTCAAAGCGTGTGTCTCTGGCTGCGTACGCTCGCCAGAAGGCAGGCCGACATGCTGAACCGACGCGTCACGCCTCGGCCCAGTACGGTTTGCACACAGAATGTGTTGCGTTTCAGCCCGGGCGTCTCAGTGTAGCTAAATTCGGTAGGGTGCCTGCTGGCAGGTTGGCTTCTTATATGGCGTGCCTACTCTGGTGCACGGCAGGCTCCAAGTCGATCCGCCAGCGCGGCTGGGCTGGGTGCCGCGGTGTCGCCGGCAGCGTGAAGACGTCGTGGTGCGGCGTCGTGGCGTCGCAGCGCGAACGGGGGCGGGGTCCGACACCGCGATGCCATGTGACACCGCGACGCCTGCTAGGATCTGTAGGAACTGCATGGGGCCTCCAACAATGTCCGATGGGGTTACTAGGCGTCACCGTTACGGGGGGGGTGTCTACGGGGGGGGGTAACACGAGTTACCCCTGGAGCCTAGACAAGAACAGTTCTCCTGTGAACCAAGTGTGGTCAAATGGGTCCATCGTCAGTGTGTTGTGGACAGAGTCGTGAATGAACGGCGGTCGCTCTGCGGCTCGATTATCACTCAATTTTGGATGCATGCAGATTCTGGATCGATGTGAGCCGGTTTGTGGATCAAGTGCTACTCAGCTAAGATTCTGCCCCCGTGCCGTATGTGGGCGCTGAGTGGGACGTCCTCAGGCCTCTTCGAGTTCTGTGTGCTGAATCTTGCAGGCGCTTGTCAAGGGGTTCGGAGCCTGGACCTCGGGGCGCGACTTACTGCCGAGGCCCCCTCGTAATCTAATAACAACGTGTGCGGGAAGGTTTTCGGCCAGGGGGATCGCCAATGGGGCCCCCTGGATGGCCCTAAGAGGCCCCCTGAACGGCGCTCAGGAGGCCCTTGAGAGGAGCCCGAAGAACCATCCCAAGATGCCCCAAGGGCCATCCAAGAGGGAGGCCCCTGACCCAAAACCTGGGCACGATGGCGGGATGGACCGAAAGCCACCCTGTGGCGGGTTCCAAACACCGCGCCACCCAAAGCATGCCACCAATTTGGAAGCAAAGTTCTGCTTCTGGCAACCTTCCGCCAACGGAGGCGGCCTCGCTCTACTTCCGCAGCTTTCCGCCGAGGAAGACATCCCAACTCCTCCGATCCTCGAAGGCGAGGTCCTGTCTGGAGCGCCCCAAAACAGCATGCGAAACGAGTGCAGACCAGCTGCGGTTCCGTTGTCGCGGTGCCGCGTGGGGCTCGGCGTCGTGGCCTGCGCGGTGCTGTACAGCTCGCGCGGTGCTGTGGCCTCACGGTGCCGGAGCGTCGCGGTGCCGCCGTGCCGTGGGCCGGCTGCGAGATCTCCATGGCGCTCTCGGCCGTGGGCCTTCTGTGTTCATGGCGAGTCTCGGCGGCGCGCCGAAGGCGGGAGCAGAGAGGGGGGGCAGGCGTTCTCAGAAGGCGGCGGGCCTTCTGAGACGCCCTCGGCGGCTTCGGAGGAAGCTTAGACAGCTTCTCAGGAAAGGCCGGAGGCCTTCTGAGCCCTCTGAGAACGACCTGCCCCCTCGGCTGTGAATGGATCGTGTGAAAGGTTGCGAGTCAGTTCGGTTCGATTTTGCATCAACGCCCCATCACTCACCGTGTCAACTGCGCACCCAGAATGGCCTCATCGTGAATCAGGTGAATCAATTGAACGCTGTCGGTAGGAAACAAGGATGCCTCAGCCATTGAACTCGTGACACTTTGTCGTACACACTAATTGGGACTGGATAGTGATCCATCATGGAGTAAGGGTAGAAATCACTTGTTGATGCCTTGTGAATCAGATGTGGATCAATTGCGAAATAATTGTGCGATTGCTGCTTGGATGAATGGATGCTTGGAATGAGGTAGCGGTAAACTGATGGATTCACATACGGATAGGAAGATCAACGCTCGAAGGCATGCGGATCAATAGCGAAACCACTCCCACCCCAATGTCCTCATCAACTAGATACTAGTACTCTCCGGTTTACCCGCGCAATTATACCCATACTGTGTTCATGTAGGTATATGTCTGCGCTGTTGCGTACATACAGCCCAAACTCCCTCGACTTTTCCTGCGATCGCTGCTTGAGCGTAGTGTCTTTGGATCGCGCCAGATGTCAAAATCGCGCGCGACGAAATCGAGGAGGGAGGATGGGTGACCACTGGGGTCAGCACCCAAGCGGCGAGGCAGTCGTGGCATGGAAACTTGCACGCGAAAAAATTGCCACCGAGGGATCTGTAGGAATTCCCCCTCTCCGGGCCTCGAGACGGGAGGAGGAGGAGGAGGAGGAGGAGGAGGAGGAGGAGGAGGAGGAGGAGGAGGAGGAGGAGGAGGAGGAGGAGGAGGAGAGGAGGAGGAGGAGGAGGAGGAGGGAGAGAGGGAGGAGCGGAGGAGGAGGAGGAGGAGGAGGAAGGAGGAGGAGGAGGAGGAGGGAGGAGGAGGAGGAGGAGGAGGAGGATCCGAGGTTGTACGGTCCCGCCCCCCCCCCTCTACTCCGACGTCCCCGTCACCTCCCTCTATATTGCGCGCACGGCCATCCAGCTCTCACTAGCTGACCGGTCAGGCAGACTGCTGGCACGCCTTGAGGGAGTCCAGGTAGAACTGGCACTGGGACGCGTCGGCGGCGGACTGCATGCACTTCGAGAGCTGGTCCTGCTGCATCTGGCATGCCGCCGGCGCTGGCGCCGCAGGGGCCCCCTCGTGGCGGTGCACCACCTCCGTCTGGCGTGGGCCCATCACCGCGTCCACAGCTCGGCTTGCAACGCTCATGCCGACGCCTGTCGCCATGCCGGACGCCATCGAGCCCATCAGCCCGGACATCATGCCGCCGCCGGCCGCGGGGGCGGCAGCGGGCGGCGGCGCGGCGGCTGCCGCGGCCGGCGGGGGCACCTGAGCTGCTGCGGCTGGCGGCGGTGGGGCGGCCTGCTTGGGGGTGGCGCTGCCGTACGATGGTGGCGGGGCGGCGCGCTTGGGGGCCGAAGCAGACGGGCGGCTGCTCTGGCGAGGCATCGCTGAAGCTCCAGGCGTTCGGGCTGGGCGGGCGCCAGGCAAACCCAGAGGGGCCTGTCGGACACGCGGATGTGCCTGAGCTCAATGCAGCTCGAGCCGAAACGGCCACGTGCAGATATCCACGTGCTCATGGTGCGTTGCCTGCATGGGGCCATACGCATGCATTCAGACTCTGTGCTGGTGCATGCGCGTGGTCTTGATTGCACATTCGCGTACCATGATATTGATTATACGTAGGCGCACAAAAGCAATTATAAGCATACGCCAACGCACGATAACGTGCACGCGCACATGCACACGTGTCTAGATGCGCACTTTGCTCACGGACTCATACTTGCATGCGTACGAATTCCCACTCTTGAGCCAGGCTGTGCCAACACATTGCCGCTGTATTCCAAACACGTCTAGATCTATCTATGCACATGTGCATGTTTCACCCACGTACATGCGAGATCTGTTTCGCCGTGGTTCAAACTTTGCACTGTGAGCTTTGGGGGCACCTCAGCCGGAAGCCGGCTGGAATCGATTGGCGCAAGGACCGAACTCCGCAGACAACCGAGCGGACTGAGAACTGCCACGCGTGCTGGCAGGGCAGGCGATGTCAAGGCGACCGATGCTCAAGCAACGGCGCGCGCAACGTGCAAGGCCAACATGAGCCACTCTCTCGGCCACCAGGGCAGCGGAGCACACCCGAGACGCATGGAGGAGACCAGAGGAACGGGGCGGACGAGGTCTGCGTGGCAGCGCCTGGCAGCGCGGCCGCCTGGAGAACAGCCCAGGACCCGAAGCCCCCCAGACAATGATCGACCGAAACCATGTTTTTCTTTTTTGTTTTGTCTTCGCTTTCCCTCGTCTTGTCTTCACTCCGCCGCTGCCGCACTTGGGACATCGGAACGAGCACGGCCCACGAAATCGCCCCAACGCCGTCCAGGTCGACCCCCTGCCCCCAGGACCCCCCCCCTTCCGAAAACAGCGCGCGAACGGACTGCAGAAGAGCCTGACGAAGCATCGACACGTCGGCGGGTGGACCTGGCGCCCACCGCATGGCCCGTCTCCGAGCGCAGGGGCCAGCCACCGTCAGGGCTGTGCAACCCGACAGGCTCCTGCTCCTCCTCCTCCTCCTCCTCCTCCTCCTCCTCCTCCACCCCCTCCTCCTCCTCCTCCTCCTCCACCTCCTCCTCCTCCTCCTCCTCCTCCTCTGCCGCTTTGAGGAACAAGGGGGGGAGCAGGAACCGTCTGGGCTTGAGCCGCCGCGCGCACGCCAAATCAAACAGTGAAGAGGAGTGGCAGCCACGGCACCTGTGAAGGGGCCCTGGGACACACAAATAAATACACACAAATAAACACATTCCCTATCTTTTCCCATATTTTTTGGGGTTTCGTCCTCCCCCCCACTTCCCATATGTTCCCATATTTTCGGGGGGATCGACGATTACTTGTGTCTGTGTGTTTTTTCCCCTCCTGACTGGAGCCCGAAAGAGGCCTCCAGACGCGGGAAACGCGACGAGCGAGTGCCGTCGTGTTTTTCCAAGGCGTCGGAGGTTCGGGCCTCCGGGGGGCCCGGGTGGGTCGGCGAGGCCGCTGGCTTCAGCACCCCTCCAGCGGGGACTCCGCGGACGGGCACCTCGGCCAACGACCCGGCGAGCCCAACCTTCCCAACGCGGGCAGCGCCCGGAAACAAGACCCTGAAATGGCAACTTCCGCCGGGGTTCCGAAGGACCCTTCTCGATGATCCTCAGAACGCGTGTCAGCGCCAACGTGCGCTCGTCCACCGGACCACCGGGACCCTTCAGTACGAAGCAGGCAGTGCAGGGAGGGTCGACACATGCTGCTGCCATGTGTGGACATGAACGAAACAAACATTGAGCTAACACGCGTCCTGAAGATCATCGACCATTGTGAGATGCAACGTTCGGGGGGGGGACCTGCTTAGGCAGGATAGTAACTCGGATCGGCGGTCGAAATGAATCTGATCGGCGGAAATCGGCGGATAAGTCGGGAGAAGTCGACTGGGCGGAAATCAGAAAAAAACAACCCACTGAGAAATCGGAACCCAAACCGGAATCTAAGGTCGCATCGAATCGGAATCGGAATCCATCGAAATCGGGCGGAATCGAATCCGAGGAGTCGAAATGAGCCCAGATCAAGGGGAACCCTCGAGTTGGAACCGGCGATGCTGCGCCGATCGATCGGCGTCTGGCCCCCCGACGGCAGATCCGCACGGTGGGGGGCGGGCCTTCGGCGATCGCGGCGTCGTGCGCCCCAGGGAGCAGGGCCGGCCAGGGACGCCAGATCGAATCGTAGTGTGCGTCGAACCGAACCTATTACCAGCGTGCGCGCCCAGCGATTACCCAGCCGCACGGTGGCATTCCAAAGAAATTGCCCGTTGGTAGATACCCAGTACGGTGCCGCTCCAAAGTGACCGCTGGTGAATACCCCCCAGGGTGGCGTTCCAAAGTGCCCGCTGGTGAATACCCATCTCGGTGGGGGTCCCAAATGCCCGTCGATGAGCCCCGCTGATGGGTCGAGTCAAAAGGCTGAACCCTCCCTCCGCCCTTGCGTCGGGAGGGCTTGCACTGGAAAACGGCGTCGGGAAGGGAGGCAGGTGGATATGGCAACAATGATCTTCAACGACTGGCGTCCTGCACTGCCTCCACCAGAGCCCCCGACGCTCCGTCGGAGGCGGGGTCCCCTTCGGGAGCTGCCCGCGGCGGGCCGACGCCGCGGTGACGCGCGGCGTGGTGTGCCCCCCCAGGGGGCAGGGCCAGCGTCGACTCCGAAACTCGAGGAGGAGGAGGAGGAGGAGGAGGAGGAGGAGGAG